GAATTCACAGATTTGTACGCGATGCTATCAGCTGCAGGCATTTCTCTGTGAGTAGTCATCCTATTGTCTTAGCTTTGAGTAATTGTGATTCTCGTCCTCCTGTGGCATTGTCGTCTGCAGCTGGTTTCTTGTTACTTGCATCAGTTTCATAAGATTCCAATTAAAATCCCTCTATCAATTTGGAGGACACCACTAACATAATTCTTTACCCCCTGTGTGTAGGTCCTAATGTCAATTGACAAGCAATCCTAAATCTAATTTACACATTCCGTCAATATGGTCTCACCATAATCCTATACCTCAAAGTGCTTGCGTCATTTTGTTCAATGGAATTCTCAACTATCCTCTAAATCTTTTTCGGGCATTCAGAACCTGTTTATTCTTAATGCAGTGAGCAGCTATTTGAGCAAACAAACACTGGAAGAAAAATATGTTTTTTCTTCCAGTGTTTGAAGAAAAAAAAGCAACCTACAATGTTTTTAAAGTGTTATAAGTTACTTTATTTTTTCTTGTTTTATACATTATAAAAGTCTAAATTGTAACACGGCAACATCTTTGGAGCGGTGAATCAATCATGTTTCAGCAGTAATCAATGCGCAAGATGAGTGTGTGTTTTTTCTCCAAAGTAAACTGATAATGGATTTCAGTGATGTGTTGATATCTACATGTAAATGTACATCTCCAAAAAGATTTAATTAGTTCAAAGTCAATTATTCCTAAATACAGTATATTGTTGAAAAGCCTACTTTACAAATCCCTCAATATCTATAAACAAAATGCCAAAATGAAGGTAAGACAGGTGGTTAATATCAACAGTTTGAAGGCATTTAAAGGGGGGATATCATCTTTTCTGTAGGCACTACATAAAGCTCAATCTTTTGGACCTTTTGCACTTTTGGCCTCATTCAGTATTTACACGGAACGTGTTTCCATATTCACTTTGGCTCCTGTCCCTGTGGGAGACGTGCAAGCGCACAGGTAAAAGACATGCTGCACAGCGGTCACAGGGGACCCAGATGAAGAGAAAGTGAACTCTGTTTATTTGTGAACAAATCTGCGTGGGCTTGTGTGTTTGTGTGCGCATTTTGGGGCTACTGTGCGTGTAAACATAGGGGAGGAACTGCCGTTCCAGTCTGCTGGCTGACAGACAGTCTTGTGGTTAATGAGCAGCTGTCGGCCATCACTATTCATGAGCCCTGTCACTCACCTTCTCTCTCAAAGCACCGGCACCTGAAACCCTCCAGTCTCTCATTAGCACTGCGGCAAGACAGACATGCACACCTACATAGAGGCTCCATTGTAACCACAATCATTCTCTGACATGACTACTTGCATGTAATGAAATAAAACAAGTCAGAAGGTTCAGGGCAGGCCGGATCATCAATGGAATTCCAATTCAGCCATTGTGGTGTGAGCAGCGTAAGTTCATTCGAGAGGCGAGACACTCAATCAGAAGATCACTGCTCTTTCATCTGATGCTGGAAAAGGCACACAGATGGGACTTTACTAGAAATGACTGTTTGATGTGTCCTAGAGGAAATCGAAAGAGAACAGCGGGTTTGAATAAAAACCTCAGTACAAGCTCTTCTATGTGGAGCAGTCAAGCAAAATATCAGAATTAAGCTTGTTTTTTTTTTCCTCGTCCTGGTTAGGAACAGCATTTTCTGCTGATGTGCATCATCCATTTTCCTGAGAATATCAAAAACCTTCCTGATGATAACTGCAAGAGAAGCCAGAGGACATGCAGCTTTTAAACTAACCTTTTTTATAGTTAAAAAAGAGATTATTCTGAGTTGTTCTAAAATAATCAAAAGACAAAGCATGAAAATGTGTGACCACTCAGCACTAATTCAGAATAAAGCCTAATGGCCTTGAAATATCAAAAAGCAGATTTGTATTGTACACTGTATTATAAACAGTAAGTGTAGCAAAAGGGATGTGCGTCTGATTCCAAAGGCCTTATTCATTTTGCTGGGATGAATACTGAGATTATGTGACACCGGCAATTTACTCAAAAGGCAGAAAATATATTGCACCACCATAGGCTTTTATGCTCATTCAAACCTCACAGAAAGTATTCTGTCTTTGCAGTTCACCACTGTTTTAGGAGATTTATGAATAGCTTCCAGATGCCAACGAAAACTGCCAGTTCTAATTTTCTGTGATAGAATAAATACCATGTCAATGTCACTGCTGATACAGGACAGGTGCATAAATCATTCAGAAAAGGAGACAAAACAAGGATGGGTGGTTAGGAAGGAAAGTTAAGGAAAGGAGGTGATGGAGTGAAAGGAAAAGAGAAAATTGGGATTTGTGTTCTTTTAGGACTACAGACAGGGGCAGCCAGACTCATTGACGTGAATGGAAACGATTAGTTTCCCTCTCTTTTCAGCTGAGGTCTGAGCCAGTGTAATCCCACAGCTGAATCACTCACTCTGTCTTTTGCTCACACTCCTCCCCGCCAAGCCTGATTTATGGGGAAAAATCATTTCTATTGAGTGATTGGGTCATGCAGCAACACTTTTCCCATGCACACTCTTACTCACTGACAAATCAGAAATACATCCATACACACAAACACACACGTCCCCTGTGTATTCATGCTTCTTGTCATGATTAGACATAGAATTGTTCATTAACATTGTCTACCTTGGATTTATGAACAGCTGTTCATCTTTAAATTTGAATGACAAATAAATAAAAAAAATCACAGTCTAGCTATCGATTGCTACTCTCTTTTTTATTGTTTCTTCTGCTTTTGCTGTTCTTCATGTCCCCTTTCGATTAAGTGAATAAGACGTTATTGATTATTTTTGACTGTCTGGGAGAGGCTTGCAAAGAGCTTTGTTTTCCCTGTATTGAGGGCTAAGAGAAGCAAGTGTGGTGTGACAGTTGCAGTGTTTGCAGTCGTAGAAGTCGTTGTGAATACTGAGCGCTGCAGCAGACGGCAAATTGTATGTTGGTGTTGGAGGTGGCGGGGGTGTTCTCAAGCTGCGTGTTCAAATCTGCGCTCTCCGTCTGCTAGATAATCATCTGACACTCGATCAGACACACAGGGCCTTGGGCTTCAGAATCACCACTGAGCTACTTGTCCACTCGGTCAGGACTTTCTATTTCCCTCCCTCATCTTCAAGCTGTTTTTTTCACTGCTTTACTAATGTTATCTTTGTTGATAAGCGCTTGATGGAAAGCAGCATCTGTGGAAATGACTCCCCCTACCCTTACAAAGATAAAGGAGCTGTGGATGCGACCTGGCAGGAGAGGTGCTTCTTTGCACACTAATAAGAGAACCCCTGCTCAGCCCCCAATGCCGATGATTTCACATCCCCACATAAGCACACGTCCAGGCACATGCATCACAGAACGTTTTCAGCACAAGCTGAGGGATGATCTGAGCAATTCCCCACCCTTGGCACGGTACAAGATGCTAAAATGAGAGCAGCGTGCAATTCATATGCACATCAGTGGTTTAAGAAATAACGTCTGCTATTGCTTTGCTTTGACACAACATTGCTAGATATGGGGACGTTTTGAGGCCGAGGGACTGTTTCTTCAGTCACCCTGAAATGTCAAAATTCCTGCTCCATATTTCTAATTAATCTCAACATCTCTTTAATTTGTTCAATTCTCACTGTTACTCTGTGACATGTTAAGCTTAATTCAAATCAGCGACACAGGAGAGATGCAGAGGAACAAGATGACTGGAAATAGGGAGAGCAGGGAGAGGAGACGGTCCACAGAACCAGCAAGATTTGTATCTAACATTATCAGCTCAAATGAAACATAGATATGAGAGTCATGGAAGACAGAATTCTTAAGAGAGAAATAGAAAGCACTGAGAGGGAACAATGGTTTAAGCACCACGATCCTCCAATCATCTTTCAGTCCAGGGTGCATACTATGGATCTATGCCTCTGGGTTACACTAATGTACTCCTCCATCTTAAAGTTGCTATGGACTATGGACTCTCAATTCTCTGGAAATCACTAATGGAGCTGTGAGCAATCCAGAGCTAGCTTGCTAAAACTGCACTTATCATTTACGAACAGTAAATCTTATCCAGTGAGGGTAAATGCGCATCAATACCTTATAATGTTCACAGATAACTTTGTTAAAATCTGTCACCCCATATTTGCAGCAGCAGCTATACTATGAGAGTAATAACGTTCAGCCCAGTTTGCATTGGAAAAACAGCACAACAAAAAGTTTGTCATCAAGAAAGTGTACTTTTATGGCTAACAGTTTTATGTAACAAAACCATGATGCTGGCAAATGCTTGTTAGAAAAGCCAAACCTTTCGATCTCTGAAATTTTGTCTCACAATGTTACAGCAATGCAGGTCACTGCTGGATGGAATGAACAAAGGAAAAGGGAGTTGTATGTGGAAATACTATGTTCACAGTCACTCTGGGGTTTTGTAATCATTACTTTTTTGAAATAGTGGAAACAGATGACCTTTCCTGGTCGAACGCTTAGTGTGTTTAAATTTAATTGAGAGTAGGGAAAAAGAAGAAAAACATGGTAATCTTAATTCTGCTAATGCTAACCTTGAGCAATTATCCCCAAAGAGAATGAAAGCGACTTGTCTGTGTTCATGAATGTATGTGCTTAGCAACTACCTAAGTTGGAACATTTGATTCAGTTTGTTTCACATAAACACCCAGTGGCATCGCCGGCCAAAAGCCCACAGCAGTATTTCTTATCTTCGCCCATCTCATTACTGACCTCTTCTAATGTTCTTACCATCTATCTTTCCTTGAATCAATCTCTTTAGCGCCTTCCCTCTTGTGAAGTGAAACAAAGCTAATTGAAATAAATGAACTGGAGAATAAATCCATGTGGATTACATTGATTGTGTGTGGTTTCATACTTGCATAGGGAACGTTGTAAAAAACTGGTAACGAAAGGGCTTCTAGACTGCAACTTGTCATTAACAACCACATAACGTATTTTAAGCAGGTTGTAGGTCTATGCGGGAAACAGAAAAGAGATTATTTATCTTGTGGGTTTTTATTTGCACATAAATTTTGACAAATAAACTTGCTGCCATTCAGGCAGCAGTTATTGTTCATAAAGTCCTCAGAATAACTGTACAGCATATAAAATAAGTACAACACTATACAAATGAAGGGCAGTGTGTGTCAAGAGAGGAAAGGATAAATTGTACTGCTTAAATGCAATGAAATAAATAGAACACGGGGACAGAATGACATGATTACACATGTTGTGTGCACACTCTACCATTCGAATCAGGGGAGGTAGTTACAGTGCTGAGAAATTTAATTTGCTGGAGGGAAAACTAGGCAGAAAATGGAATTCACATACATAAGTCTCACCAGCTCTGTGGTATTTCACAGTTCTATTTGCCAATTCAAAAAAGGCTCTTAGGGGTAATATGCAGAAACAGGCTGCAGCATTTGCATCACCTAAAAACAAATCCTGAATAATGCAGTTTAATTTGTAAAATGATATGATAGGGATTCCGCTGAGATGGGACAATGTTAATTTTACAGCTAAACAGAACAAATCAATCTTTCAAAACTTGACTGAATTGCAGTCTTAATAATACATTTGACTCTATGAAAAGAGCTGTCTGAGTTGATATTTAATTTCTTATGAGAGAAAATCACTGTGAAGGCAAAGTGTAAGTGTGGTTTAAGGGTGGATTTTCCCTTTAAAGCAATCAACCATGTTGCTCTGAACTGTTCTTTGCTTCGTTCTATTGGCCCTGTGGAAATAACACAGTCAGCCAGAGGATGTGCAAAAACCAAGAAACAAGTATCTTACCTCCGAGGGTCTTTTGTACTGTTGAATAAAGCAATAACCCTCTCAATCTCTAGTACTATGATCATACCCACAGAAACACAAATAGTTTCACAAATATAAAAGACTCATCTATAGCACCACTGAAGGGCAATTCATACCAGGATAAAGGCATCTCTGTTCATAATTCTGCATTTAAAAAAATCTTTGAATAAGTCACCACACTTGACAGGAGAACATTCTAATTGGTACAGTTACAATATCCGCAGCACAGGTGCTGGAATATGTCATGATAGCAAGTGCATACCACTGCTAAAATGATGTTACATACATACTGTGGTTTGTAGATACAGGGAGGGCTCAAAGACCATATTACCAAGCATATGAGGGAAGCAGAGAATACAGAAAAATAACCTTAGTCATTCAAGTAAGTGTTTGGCTCAATAACTAGCTACACCTTATGAACACAAAACAAGATAATTCATTGAACAAACTGCTGTTGAAAGGTAAAGAGCGCAATTTATCATCTTACTCACAAGAAATTAATTATTCTGGTTTTGTGGAATTAATGTGCTGGGGTAGTTCACAACTGCTCTGGAATTGTCATTAGATTGAAATCTATCTGCAATATAAATTAATATGATTGTGACACTGATTTATTTAATCTCAGTCTTTGAAAATTGTAAGGCAGGAAGTAGATGTCTATGCTATCCAGTCACTGACATGCCCTGGTCAGTAAGACAGATCTTGTTTATGGCTGGTCATTGTTAAGTGGTGTGGCCCTCTAGAGGATTAAATATAGCCCACTTAAAAAAGGTAGATAATCAAACAACAAAAGCAAAAAAACAAAAAACAGAATTAGATATATCTAACTGTAATGATTCCCTTTGGTATATTGTGTTTTGTTCCAGCTGTAGCATATCCTCTTTCTTGCTATTGTGCTATAGTTCTTACTCTTGGAAATTGAAAGAAAATATTTCATTGACTGTTTAACAATCCCAAATAAGACACCAATAACCCATCACATACAGGAACATAACAATAAATATTGAGTGGCAGTTCAAGTCCAGTTTCTTTGACTGAAAACTTCCTGTGAAGGTCTTCATATGTACTCGTTCCTGTCAAGATGTTAGCCGTTGAAGCATACTTGTCCGACTTGGAATCCAAATTTCTGGCTGTTGCGACCAAAATCTGCTGGTGCCACATCTATAATAGGGAGTAGCTCAGCCGAGGGGGAGTTAATCTCTAAAATGGTCCTCTCCTGACCTTTACGGAACTGGAAAATAAATATCAAGATCATTGTCAGAATCTTATAGCTATTAAGTAGATCCTTCCATTTCATTTCAGATCAGATGGTTATCCACATACTGAATTCAGCTAACAACAAACACATTATACTCATTAATGCTAATTCTCATTTGTTCAGCTTGTCTTTTTCCCAGATGCATAGCAGACTGACCTGGCATCCATCATGCACTGCTGTGATGAATGGGCTTTTGGCTTGTGTCAGCTCCTCATCATTGCTACCACGGAATCGGAGGGCATGCTGGTATGAGAGGGAGGTGCTGTCAAACCAACCCACTGAGTTCTGACAGGTATAGGTGAAGCTCTGCTTGGCTGTGGCACTTAATAATTTCAAGAAGGTCAGCTGAACTACATGAACAGGGTTCCCATTCCTGTCGATGTAGGAGAACTGAAAGACACACAAACATAAGGTGGCAGAGAATGTAAAATGTGATTCTGCTCTACTTAGCAACAGAGTTAGATTAATTTATTTTATTATTATAAATGGTCTAATGAAATATTTCTATTCTTATTTTCTAATTCTAATTCATTTCCATCATTGAAAACAAAAGTAGACCTTTTTGTGCTTGAGCTCACCAAAACAGTGTGTGTAAGATAACACAAACAATGACTTCAAAGGAAGAAAAATACAGATAACAAACAGATATAGTCTAAAATGTTGTGTGAATCTTTCTAACTGATGGAATCAACTGTTGACAATAGAGATAAGCTTCATTGCACATATTCAAATAATTTAAATAATTAATAGAGAATTATACTTATGGCAGATTTACAAAACATTTACGCACAGTAATGCACATAGTAATGTCATGGATGTACAGACACAGGCATGTCAATAAAATCAACCTTGTGCATGAATATTTGTCCTACAATCTTGCTTGCTTTAAACTATTTAGCTGAGGAAAATTAACTTTTCATAGGTGAGGTCTGATTTTTTTATTTATGTGTATATTGTACCTGTTTGCCCTTCTTGTATTGGCTGTACCAGCTTCCTGGTTTCTCTTTGCTCCATGCTGATAGTTTCACCTGGACATAAGGAGGACAGAACGGAGATGTAAAAAGATCTAAATATATCAAGATACAAATGAGTTCTGTTCTAATTTAATTAGACAAGGTCTGTTGTATATGGGGCTGACTGAATGAGATTGGAGGCTTACCCTCTCAATCCTGTTGTCAGGGTAGAGACAGGTCTGTCCATCGGCTGTGAAGTTACAATAAACCTTGATAGAGTCTCTATGACAACCCTGATTGGGATCAATCCAATAGTCTCCTAAAAACACCAAACAATGACACTGTGAACAAAGGTAAAGCAATAAAACAAAAATATCTAAGTGATGTCCGATTTTTAATCTTTTTAAAAATTATTTAATGAAACTTCATTGGTCGTAAATAGCCTTTATAAAGCTGATTTTGCAAACCATCTTTGTAGTCAGGGTGAATCATCATGAGCTCTTTGCAGGTACGAGCAGGGCTCTCAAAGGTTCCAAGAGGTCTCCTCATAAGCTCCACTTCATTCTTCATTGAAGAAAGGGTAGCAAAAACTTCCTCCATTCCTTCGGCATCCTCCAGGGGCTGATCTCCTTGCAGAAACACTTCCGTGTCCAAAGCTTCATCCCCCTCCCTGGATGCATCTTTTGTTTGATCTGTATGCCTTCGTCTCTTTCGCCTGCCCTCCCTAATTGGTAGGGGTTGAACCATAGTGGCAGGGGCTCCCTAAATATATCACAGACGAGTGACAAAAGTGATCACAGGTAGCTAAAGTTGAAAATTTGCAGTGATACAGCCATGAAATGGATCAGTAGATGCACTTACAGGGGGTCCTGGAGGACCAGCAGGGCCCGGATCTCCCCTGGGACCGACCACACCCTGGACAAAAGAAGAGGACAAAGGATTTTGCTATCAGATCTTACCTGGACCATACCCCGTGCCTTATGTCTCATTGCTGACTTTATCCAAGCAAATACAGCATGACCAGTGCTTATAGGATTATACAGCTGTGTGCATCCGTACTTTGTGGTAAAAGCCCCAACTCTAAACGCCCACACAAAGCAAGTATGGCTCTCCAACAGGCTTTTACATTCAAAGACATTCAGGAAACACAGTAAAGCATTGCAATTAGAAAGCATGGAGCATTTAAGCCAACAAACATAGTTTCTCCTCTGTGCAGAGCGTATGTTCCCTGCAGCTGCTTTCTAAGAGGTGTGAACAGAAATGGCAATGCATAAAGAAGAGAGATTACACAACTCACCAGCTCTCCCTTCGATCCTTTCTCCCCAGCAGCTCCCTAAGAGTGGTAATGAAGAGTAGGTAAGCATTAAAAACACCATGGGAAGCATACCAGCTATTAAAGATAAGAAAATGAACTAATTACTCAAGTTAATACGGGAAAATATCAATTAAAAGTAGCTTGTGGGCTATGTGGGTTATCATTACTCCATATTTTTTATATTTTAAAGTCGTATAAAATCATTCACATTGATTTGACATTGAAAATAACACGGCCTGAGTAAAAATTTGCATATTGTGATTTTAACACTCAAGTCTTACTCAAAGAACAAAGAAAAAAGGGTAACTAGTAATCTACTAATTAAAGACAGCAGCATTTCCACTTACAGAGAATCCTGGTGGCCCCGGTGGACCAGTGGGACCAGCTGTTCCAGTCACTCCCTAAGTATGAGCACAATCATGTCTTGTTACGGAACTTCACTTTCTTTACCAAACATGTATTAGGTGCACCATGATGCAGCCGATATACCTCATCTCCCTTAGGTCCTTGTAAACCCTGGTTTCCTGGCAGGCCTCTATCTCCTTTCTCACCAGGTTCTCCTGGGGGACCAATTAGACCAATCAACCCACCATGACCCTGCAGAGAGAGACATAGTTCATCGCTGTTCATTCGCCTGTATCATACTGGTGCAGAGTTCTCACTATAAAGGCCGAAACACTTACTTTTTCTCCTTTACTTCCAGAGTCTCCTTTTAGTCCTGGAAGTCCTGGTGGTCCCTTTGAGCAATGCCACACATTAGAGAGATCAAATCAAACTCTCCATGGTGTTAACCCTATTAAACATGTATGTATTCGATTGATTTTTGTACATTATAGTTACTCCACAGAACCCATTCCCAGCTCTATGTGATGGTCTTACCATTGGTCCTGGAGGTCCAGTTTGTCCAGATGGTCCATTCAACCCATGTTCACCCTGTAAAAACAGAAACAAATGTGCTACATATAACTATGATGAGCTCTTCAGAGCTTCAGGTGATGGGATATGTTTTGTTTGTGTAAAAGCAATATTTTCTATCTCAAGTGCTCATACTAACCGCTGGACCAGGAATGCCTCGAAGCCCTTCTGGACCAGGCCTCCCTGGCTGCCCTTGGGGTCCTACTGGGCCTGTCTTCCCCACTGAACCAAGAGCTCCTGTCATCCCCTTAAAGCAGGAGGACCAAAATAAACAAAGAAAACACATTAGGAGGAAAAAAGAATGAAAAATAAGGCCTACTTGAAGGGCACATCATACAGTCTCTGAGCTCTGCGTTCTTATCCTTACTTTGCTTCCTTTCATCCCTTGCTTCCCTTCTTTTCCTGCAGCTCCAATATGACCCTGACAGAGACAGAAAGCAATGTGGTTGTGACGATAAAATGAGCAGAATTACACAAAATGGCACATGTATGCGCATACATATAAGATGTTTAGAGAATATCAATCTCACCCTCCGACCTGGCGGCCCTGGCGGGCCAGGTTCTCCCGAGGCCCCGGAGGGTCCCTGTCGAGAACAGAAAAAGCTACAGCAAAAATATATTTGCACCAACAAAAAGACAGTGAGGGGAAATCCTGAAATAGTGTTGCCATGCCACAAACTTTAGCCGAGTTGCAAAAATTACTTACGGCTTTCCCAGGCTCTCCGTTGTCTCCTTTTGGTCCATGTGCACCATCTATACCCTGAGTGATGTAAATGTAATTGTAGAAAAATTAGCAAAAGAGAGGCATACATAAAATGAAAAGATTATAAAGGAATACAAAAACAAAACATGATCTCACATTGATTCCGGGTTCTCCAGGGGGCCCCGAATCTCCAGGGAATCCAAGAGGACCCTAAGAGTACAGGTAAATAAAATAGCATGTTCAAAGACATTAAAAGACCGACCTACTGACTTGGAAAATATGAGCAAGAAAATGTCACTGGTCTACTCACAAGGTTGCCCTTGGGTCCATCCTCTCCTGGTACTCCCCTCGATCCAGGAGGACCAGCTGCTCCGGGGGGACCGGAGTCACCCTTATCCCCCACATCACCTTTAGCACCCTGGTGCATCGGCAAAATAAAATTGTAGTAAGTTTGAACAGACTTAAATACCAAACCATGTGCATTTAGCAATAAAAAAGGTAATATGAAGGCGAAGTGACCTACAGGGATGCCAGTCTCCCCCACTGACCCAGGGTCTCCTGCCTCTCCATCCTCACCCTGACAGAAACATCATATTTGGCAGAATGAAAAAACAGATTAAAATAGTAAAGCGTGCATACAACACAAAGCACCATTTTTTGCACGTGTAAATAATCACTATTTGATTTGCTGACCTTCTCTCCAACAAGTCCAGGCTGACCAACTCCTCCCGATAAACCAGGAGGGCCCTGTGGCACGAGGTGAAAGAAACAGCTTTGACTAAAACAAGGGCAAGCTTTAAATATTTATTTTACTTCTGAGAATCAGATTGTGAAGCATTGTGGTGCATTTGCTTGTCAGCACCTTTGCCCGCAGAATGCTGAAACTGGAACAAAATACAGCGACACAAGAAAAATACTGGGTGTCAGTTTTTGCAAGAAAATCGGATGAGGATATTGTCTAAATCACCAAATGTTATTTTTTTCCCCCATCTTCCAGCCAGTTTGCTTGTTTGTGTGTGCATATACTGTATATTGGTATATAGTGTCCCGAGATGAGCCCAGAGAGTTCTGTATTCAGCAGAATACACAAATTAAAGGGATGAGCACAGCCATGCATTTCTGCTGAGGCCCAGCTGTCAACTGCTTCCCTCACAAGGAATCTAACCCTTTTCACTTCTTTTTTAGTATTCCTATATTAATCCATCTCTGGACTGTTTCCTACAATGAAGCCCCAGTGAGGCTCTCCCAGCTTTTTGCAGCTCGTTGCTGAATAATTGACCATTATGAGAGGCTGCAGAGGGACAGCCATTACCAGAGGTAAATATAACTGCCTCTCAGGGATAATAGTCTCATTCTTCTCAATGATTCATAAAGCAGTAAATATAACTTTCATGGGGATTATATTCTAATGTTTTTTAATAATTCAAGTTTAAAAGCAGTGGAAGGTCTGCAGCAAGACGTGCAGAGCAGACGAGAGGTTGGATAATATCAAGTGTTTGTGGTGAGTAAGAAGAATAAGCAATTGCACTATAGGTAGTTTGATAAAAACGTGTTTGTGAAGTGGGAGTCTTCTTTAAACCATAGTTTTCTTTATGGTACACAGAGACATGATAAAACCATCAAATTAAGAGATTTAAAAGCTGCAGGTGTTTTTTAGCCGAAAATTAGATCGACAAAATGTATTATTTAAACTTACTTATACATATTAAAAGAAAGAAAATAATCTCCTCAATTAACTGGGTTAAAAGTGCAAAGAAATCTAACCAAACTTTGTCAAGTTGAAAATAATTTACATAAGCACATTTATCCATTATTAGAGGGTAGTTTGTCTTATGCTAATGTTAATGCTGATAATGTTGATTTGTATTACCAAAGAATGTAGAACATGTTGATGCATTTATTACTTCAAGTAAATCAATACTTAGAGCAATTTTTTGTGTTTTTCATCGGGTTGTTTCTTTTGAATACAAATATAAGTTTTAAAATATAGTAATAAAAACTAAAATTGCACCTTACCTCTCCACCAATGGGTCCCTGAGGGCCCCGTGGGCCATGCTGTCCTGGAGGACCCTAAGGAGATCAGAATGAAATATTTTAATTAGATCTAATGAAAAATTCAGGCTTACAAACTGAATTTGAGCTGGTGCCACCTAAATTAAATAAGAGCTAGATGTCAACCCATGCTGGAGTGCATATGAATTGGCCCCAGTATCTATGATTATTATCATACTGACATGATGATGAGAACCAGACAGGTCATTACCCTCAATATGACACAGGCTCTGACTGTTTCTCATTTTTGCCTCCCACTGCCTTCCTCTTATTCTCACTTATTAATAAGAAACCTCCACCCTGTGATGTGTGTGACCATATTCTCTGAGCGGGCTACGACATGCGATTTGACTCTTGGGTGCAGCTCGAGAGAGCACCGAGCAATTAATGCTAACTGTGCTTGGCTTCAGTTTCAGCTGAGGAGATGTTCAGCTGTGCTCTGAATCACTCTGAAGTCTTGGAGAGAGCCTTGTGTTGTAAGGATGACACTGAACAAGAGAGACAGACAATCTGTCCAGAGAGAGAATTTATGAAACTGGGAGAAACACATATCCTTCAGGCAGAGGTACTTCATGTGTTACAGGGGAGGATTCTGTGATCTGCAACACTGAAACATGAATAAAACTTTCCCACTGAGTCCTCAGCATCTCTCCCAGTCTCGCTCTCTTGTTTTGGTTCCATTTTAGTGCATTCCCTTCCTAATCTGAGTGGGGATAAGAAGAGCTAGAGAGAATCTTCTTGAGCTGGCGTTCATGGCTGACAGTGTTGTGAGATGACTGTCACAAAGGAGGATGCTCATTAGACGGCCATGGCTGAGGCTAATCTGATTAGCAGCTGTCACACCGTCTTCCTGTTCACAATGACAGTCCGCCTCTTCCTTCCATGCTGTTGCCCCATACTCTCCGTTTGTCAGTGTTATTCTTTTTTTCATCCATCTCCATATTCACACTCAGTCACTTCATTCATGCCTGGGCTCATCTGTTTAGGACATGATGGAATAGATTCTTATTACTTTGAAGCTTTGGAGATGCATTACAATAAATAAAATAAAAATCAACTTTTGATAAATTGCGCTTTTTAAAGCTTAAAGATTCCTTTTCACTATCATATCTTTTTTTAAATTGTAAATAATTCTAAGACAAAAGGATGCCAGTGAGACTATTGCCTGACTTTGCAGCCAGAAAACGGTTGACTGTAGAGAACAGCAGGCTAAAAAAAAGTAAAAATAGTTCTGTTTTGATAGATCTCTTTTGTTCCTTCATTCTGTGACTGAACATGCTGGTTTGCTTGTTAAGATCATTGCAACCAGCACAACTGTAATTAGCATAATTAGGTACACCTGTGATTTTGCTTTTATGAGCATATAATTTGCTCTCAAAAATTTACGTTCTTCTGGAACGATTTAGATTTAGCCAGCATGTTTCTTGGTCACAAGCCTATTTGAATAAAAAAAACACCTCTGAGCTAACAGGCTGGAGAAGTAGCAGCTAAATCTTTTTTCTTAATTTGTGTTAAATTGCCTCACTTTAAATTGATCTAAACACAAATCCAAGACTGGCTCCCCTTTAAAGATCAGCCTGATAACCAGGAGCTGAACAAAATGAGAGTAATCCCTGATCAGAGAAAACTCAGCTCCCAACCAAAACCACTTGAGATTGGGGGCAGTTAATGTTAATTAATATCGACAAGGGGAAAGGTTGGTTCCCAAGTTTGACAATCAGCAGCACAATGAAGCTAGTTGTCTCTAATTAACCGAATGGGTGGCACTGATTAAAGTTTAATAGGCTCAGGTGGATTGTCTGAGAGCTCTATATACCTCATACAATGTTGTCACTGTGTTTACTATTCAGAGACAAAGAGTCTGTATTGTGAAACGAGCAAAGTTGCTGAGATTTTTCTTTTTTGGCAATAGTTTTTCTGATTTTAGTGTCACAAAGCTGGTTGGCCTCATGCTAGGTTGTGCTTCATATTTTATAAAGGGAAGCTAGTGTCCAGATAAGATAACAACACATGCTACATCCCGACTAAGCAACATTGTTGGGAAAAAAACTTATTATAGAGACAAAGTCTCAGGTCTCTACCATTTCAACCCTATGACATTCCCATTTCCCAGCCATTAAAATGAGATCCATTCAGACTCTCAGCAAAAGGAACCTGCATGTTCAAAGCTAAGATAAGTAAAGCACTAATGCTGTCCCAGGTCACCAGTCCATCGCAGGGCCACTCAGAGACAAACAACCTCCCACACTCACATGCACCCCCAGGGGCAATTTGACAAATTAACCTAACATGCAGGTTTTTGGACAGTGGAAGGAAGCTGGATTACCCAAAGAGAACTGTTACTGTTGACACCACTGCAATAAATTATTAGTATCACACATTTCCTTTTTCACTAAACTATAAAAAAAGCATTAAATTCCTTTTCTTCCATACTTTATTCCACAAAGGTGTCAGGGTGCCTTTATCCAATTACAAAAGAAAATGTTCAAAATAGCTCACATAATACACTTTTCTTTACTGTGTGATCATTTAGCACCACCATGGTTACACTTAGGAAACGAAGGCTCATGCTGTGTTAAATGCCATAAGTATACACCTGTAAAACATGGACGATAGAAACAGGTGTATGTTTGTGAGAGCTTATTTGAAGCCACTCAACTCTTTTGGAAATCTATTGCTGATAACCACAGTCATGTCGGTTCACCAGAAACATCAATGAGAAGAGCTCTGTGTTGTTTTAACTGAATTATTCTCTATCTTATAACTTATTTCAGTTTGGCTAAAACTCAGTTTTTGCTGCTACTATGTATTACGTTCATAATCTCTCTGACAGAGTTTTAGTATTCTGTTAAGAACTAAAACATTTCAAAATCAAATGCATGAGGAAAAGAGTAAACACGGTCATTATTTCTAAAACTTAGTGATCCCACTGAACACTGAATGTACTTACCATTGAGCCAACATGCCCACTTTCTCCTTTCTCTCCTGAAGGCCCTGGCATTCCCTACAAAGATAGTAACAGACAAGCGAGGGCGGAAGAAGTAGACGTTTGCAAAAACAGTCAACATGACGTTATCAGACTTGAAAATGTCAGTAGCTTTTACCTGTAATCCAGGGGGACCAGATGCCCCCTTAAAGCCCCTGGGTCCTTCATCTCCTTTTGCCCCGTTTACACCCTGTTGGCCACGAGGACCTGTTTCTCCATCTGCACCCTAAGTCATACAAAGTTAGTTCACATTGTATCAAACAAAAAAGAGTATCATATGATGATTTGTTTCGATAAGATGTACAATTCATACAAATGGTCCTGGTTGGCCCACAGGTCCTTGAATTCCAACAGGCCCTTGGGGTCCCTAAAGAAGCATAGTAATTGTTCAATACCTGTTCACGAAGGGTGAAAAATGACTAAAATTGTTGTATATGTACACTACAGGGGGCAGTGTCAATACAACAATCTCTTATAATTGTTCAGCCCAACCCAATTATACCCAGCTTGAATGTAGTTGTGCATGCTTATGTTATTACATAGTGACTATTCATTAAAAACGTTATACTCACAGCCTCTCCTTTGATTCCTTTGCTGCCTTTTTGGCCTGGTCCACCCCCTTCTCCCTGAAGAGACAAATACAAACACACAACATTGAGTCAAATGGAAAAAGATTTACACTAGAGCCACAGTCCAGACTTGTTGGCTACTATAATAACCTTGTCTCCATCTTCCCCTGGAGGTCCTAGAGGTCCTGCAACCCCTGGCAGCCCTAGAGGTCCAAGTTCCCCGTCATGTCCAGCCGGCCCCACAGCTCCCTTCTCTCCCTACAAAACATGACAAAAAGGGACACAAATGCTCACCAAATGCTTTGATACACATCGGTTCCACATACAGATGGAAAAGCACTTCAGAAAAATAGCTTCATCAAAGTTAGTTTTTTGTTTTAAAACCTCTCTTGCTCTCTGTCTCAAAATAACATGTTCCATGGTGGGAGTGCTTGTTATTTTTCTACCAACTGGTGCAAAGTGATGATGCTCTCTGTTCGTGGCCACCGTCGCTTATAAAAGAAAATGAGCTATTTTCAAATCTTACCGGCTCGCCTTTCTCTCCCATCGGCCCAGCAGGACCCACGCTGCCGGCCCGTCCTGGCTGGCCAATTGCACCAGCAGGCCCAGCAGGACCCCTCTCTCCAGTGGCACCCTGGAAATAAGAGGAAATGAGAGGTGAGGTGAGTATATCACATGAATCACTCTTTTATCTAATGCAGTAGTTAAGACTGCCAGTCACTATGGAAACAGCCAGGCCTTTTATGTGTCTAGTATTTTATATGGGATGGAAAGCAATTTCACAATATTAGACTCACAGTAAGTCCTGCAACACCAGGAAGGCCTTCTCCTCCCTTTAGACCAGCTGGGCCCTGAAAAGACAAACCATTTCTATAAGTAATTAAGAACTGCGTTATTTCCGATCAGATCAGTGAGTTTATAATTACTTTGGTTCTCATTAACGTAGAGCCTATATTTGCAAACCTCCAAAACTCCAGAACACATTCATCTCGCTTACTTGGAATCTAAATACAAGCTGCACATTTCAAAAGAGTCTGAGCAGGTGAGGATGTGCGAGGTCTTAAAAAATGTTTTACCGTTGCACCAGGGGTCCCCCTACTTCCTCTGAAGCCTTTAAGCCCAGTAGGGCCACTCTTCCCTTGGGCTCCAAGTGGGCCTGGATCCCCCTTGTATACAAGAATACATAAATGTCCATTAGATGGCAAGGTAGGCATGAAGCTTGCAGACAGGAAGCACTTACGCGGTTATAAATCACACCAAACTTCACACCACGTTACAACATTAATCTTTTATGAGCCATATAACTCTCAACACTGTGAAGTTTCCTATGTCATTTACTACTAAATTACAGGTCAGGATGAGACCCGGGAGATAAGATATTCAGGCTGTGCTGAGAGATTCAATGGGCTTTATCTAACACCATCAATGATAAAGGAAGGTGATTATGACCCTGAAAAAAATTATAAAAAGCACTCACCTTAGCGCCCTCCTTTCCAGCTGTTCCTGGTAAACCGTGCTCACCTGGTGGTCCTGGTGAACCTGGATGGCCTCTGTCTCCAGTTGGCCCTGTCTCACCAGATTTTCCCTGTTGATAATCATATCAGACAGCACTCAGTATGTAATATTTAGATAATACTGAAAATAAACAGTTTTCTTCAGGTTCAACTAAATGCTCTTACCTGGGGTCCAACAACTCCTGGGGGACCAGGAGGTCCATTCTTGCCTTGGAAACCCTGACAAAAAAAGACAAATGACTCTCTGTAATGTTGCGAATATAAGGAATCAGGCAAAGAGCCTTTGATGGGGGCAAAGGCCCAACTTTAGAACTGCTGTGGAGACAGATGGACTACATCACATTAATTCTCAACATGATTGACTTAAATTAAGCACACATAATGGAAAAAAATAATAATAATTCAGATGAGGAGGAACTCACAGGTTCTCCTCTCTGTCCGGGGTGGCCAGGCAATCCATTCTTTCCTGCAGGACCCTGAAACACAAGCCATGTCTTACATCACTTACAATTAACAAAATTCTCTGAACAATAAAAATGGATTCATATTGATCTTCAGGTAAAATGAGCCATTATTATTCTGCAGGATGGAAACGTGAACCACTCACATTAGGTCCTCGAGGTCCTGATTCACCATGCCTCCCTTGTGGTCCTTGAGGACCCTTGAAAATAAAAACACTGGCGTTGCTGCAAAATGTCTGTCTGTTTTCACAGTGTGGATCAAATTATTTTGGATTTTTTTTTAATCAAAAGCTCACCTGATCTCCAGGAGAACCTGGTGGACCGTCCAGTCCAGCAGAGCCCTGCCACATGGACAAGGCAAAATACAAAAAGTTAAACGTCAACCCCTCAAAACTGCTATGCTCTTGGCCTGCCAACAATCTTATAACTGTCTCAATTCATTCTTTGAGTGTGGTAATGTAAACTGAAACATTGTTTATCATTGAGAAGCAAACAGGTTCAAACTCCATCAGTTCATTCATCCTTACTTTTTTAGACAACAGGCTGTGTGTTTGCATGTATAACTCTAAGTTCATATTTCTCTGTTTATGTCACTAATCTCACCTTTTCTCCAGGCTTTCCAGTTGGCCCCCTTGCTCCTCTTCCCCCTCGGGCTCCCTATTGGAAAACAAACATCAGTCTGATTATTACTTGCATAACCGATCTATCAGTGGAGGACAAATATCTGTTGAAATATTTGAAGAATGGTTTCAGTTGGTCGTTCATAACAATTTACTGGTGATAAATAATTCAACAGTTTTGTTTTATACATGGCGAGAAAAAAACGACGTCACTCACATTGGGACCTCTTTGGCCCCCTGAACCTGGCTGACCACCTGGACCCTGAAACATACATGTTTATTTATCAGTCATGTACTTCATAATAACTCTTCCATGGTAACATTTGCAAACGTATTAAGAAGTCATAATATGATGAAATGTCAGCACAGTCCTCACCCTTCGTCCTTTTTCTCCAAGGACCCCTGCCACACCAGGGAAGCCGAGTGATCCCTGCAGACACAAGTAGAGGTTAATCAGTCTCAGCCCTCCATTTATCATACATCACCTCAAATGTCTCATTAACTTATAATTAACCACTGTATCAAATTAAAGCAAATCTAATCCACGAGCCCAACACAGCTTTAAATACACCATTCATCAACATGTAATGAATTGATGTCTCTAATGAGCTATAAATAAAATAGCCCGTTTTAATATGCCATTCATCATCCTTTATTTTTAATCAGACAGGAAACACTAAGGCTAAAGACACACATCTTTCTGCCCAAAACTCTGATAAAACAATCCTGGAACACAGTCTCTAATCAGAAAAGCTCATCCAGGCTAAATCACCTTAAGACCTTGTCTTCCTGGGTATCCTGGCAAACCAGGCACACCGAGTTTACCCTGCAAGTAATGCAAAAAAGATGAAAGATACCAGAATTTTTTTTTATTAAAACAATTTGCTAGTACAGCATTACCGACCTGAAATATTGAACAAAGATGGTATTAGTAATGTTTATACGAAAGTGTTACAATTAGATTAAACAAATGTAAGACTCACTGACATACTCATGTCATAGGAATGTTTACTGGCATAGCACAAAATTGAACAAAAAAAATAAAGACACAATCTATTATTATATTGTTAGCAACATTAATCATTATTTTTAACTTGTCAGGCCGGTTTCAGTACTATCTCCAGTCTATGGGGTTCAACCTGGTTTTCTTAATAATTGTTTTTATTTCAAAGCATACCTTCTCCCCAGCTAGTCCGAGGGCTCCTGCTTCTCCGATGAGTCCTGACTGACCCTTTGGACCTTCCGGTCCGTCCTCTCCACGTGGACCAAGAGCTCCATCATCACCCTAATGTCAAATTGAAGAGTAAAATAATAATTATGACAACAGTTTTACCCTCTAAATAAAACATTATCTGAGAAACACTGATACTTAGGGGACATTCGAGGGAATTCTCACCCTGTCTCCCTTGATACCCATGTCACCTTTCAGACCGGGAAAGCCATCTTCTCCCTGAAATGCAATGAGAGTGTGTGATGTGAAATGACCACATTTAAATGGAACCATTACCATTTGTCAGACATGCTTTAAGTTTTAGCTCAGTTTGATAATTTGCGAGACAATAAAGCTCTTTTTCTATTCTTTTCCCTCACCTTTTCTCCTTTGCTTCCCTTTAGACCTCTGACTCCATCTGCTCCCTGTGACATGACAAGAAAAATAATTTAAAAACAAAAACAGAACTAAAAAAAATAATCTTAATTATGCTTCTGTATTTCATTTACAATGGTAGAAATAACAAATCTTAAAAAAGCAAACACAATTTTAATAGTGTAGAAAATTTCCTTTTGAATTATCTTTGATCTGGTGTAGAGCTTTAATTTGACTTCCTACTCAGTTTTTGCTCAAAAAGCCTGGTACATTTAGTCAAACTTTTGGAAAAATATTACAAAATCAAACACTGAGCAAAGAGCCGTTTCACTTTTTAAATCCCACTCAGTCAAATTGGAGTTCTACACTCCCACACACTACTCCACTGTTTCTGACTCCACAGTTCTCCTACATATCAAATCGTCCTCACTCTCTTGTTAACAGGGGTGCTCTCCTTCCACCTGTCACCTGTCAGTTATAGACTCAAACAGCTGGTCTGTCATAGGCAGACACATGAGCAGAGGGAAGTGAGTGACGGAATAAATACATCAGTAGACTTTACAACACAGATCAAGATGCGGTGATGTCTCACCTTGACACCACGAGTACCTGGGTACCCAACTGGCCCCTGCACACCCGGTAAACCCTACACAGATTAAAATGCATTAAAAAAAACAAAAATATATAATATCACTTCTTAGTATGAGCAGCCACAAGATGGTTTAAATGAGAAAGGCACTTTGCAACTTAATTTATGTAATTTATATTCAAAGAAAATGCAAATGACTGATGAATAACTCTGTAGCATACTGTTGGAACACAGTGATCATTACGATTAAGCTCATTGTGAGTAAATGCACAGTTGGAGAAGATTGGAAAAAAACCCATGAAACTATGTTTAATTATCTTGCTACACCACAGCCGGTATGCAGTTACCCACTTGGATGCCTTTTTCTCCAGGGGGACCTTCTCTTCCTGGGTGACCCTGTTTTCAGAAAAAAAACCCCATCAGATTATAAGAGCACTGCTGCAAACATATCATTTTTATGTCACTTGTTAATACACTTTTCCATTGCAGCCAACAAATGAGAAAGAGGTGAAGCACCATGAAGTATCACTGTGTCAGAAAGTGTTGCAGAGCAGGGAAAGGCAATACACGAAACTCATACCAATGTGTTCGACTGCAAGCTGAAATGAATTCCTAAAGATGAGAAAAGCCTCCCCGTGATAAGATTTGTAGTCCTCATCCTCAATGTCATATTGTTTTGGATCGACTCTAGAAAAATGACTTTTGCAGTCTAATACTAGAGAACCAAGAAAATGTAAGTTATCAAATTGGTTTCTGTTGTAAACAATAGATTGGCCTCTGGGTTATGTGTGTGTACTTACACACATATGCATAAATTCATTATTTGCTTGATAGCAGTTACTGTAAAATTAGTGTCATTAAAGTTTCTTACATTTCTTTGGTGGAGGTTGGCAGTTATTCTTGGATAATTGATGAGAACTTGTGTGGAGATGCTTTGTTTTTTAATGGCATGCTGAGTTGCATGTGTGCTTGCACTAATTAATGCACTTATGTTTTTGTTTATCTGTGCATACTTACGGGAGGGCCATCAATGCCTGGTAGACCTTGAATTCCTTGTTTACCCTGGGGACCCTGAATTAAATGAATTTAAAAAAAAAGAAAGGATGAAACACTGAATACCTCAGCATATACCTTTCCCACTGGACTGCTCAATTATGTTTTGTCCATGTTTATCTTATTTCTAAACACTGTCTCATACTTTACAAAAGCCTAGGCTGTGTGCAGCGTCTGCAATGCCTGTGAATATATTGAGTATTTATTTTTTTGTCCTGCCAAATCTTGCATGAATGGGAGTCAGAAATGACTGGGTAATACTGCCCTTTTTCACCTGACCAAAGGTCACAGTTTTAATCCTACAATTAAGTGAGATACACGCCACCTACCTTCTCTCCTGGCAATCCAATGGGACCCTGAGCACCAGGAAACCCCTGCGAAAAATAAGGGTTAAATTGGGTTCTGCCCAAGAACCTTATATTGCTTGCATTTTGTGTGGAATTACAGTGTTTTGTTTTGTTGACAAGAAGGCAAAGTGATGAGTCTCGCTGCCTGTGAGAAACCTTCAGTTTCAGTTTCAGATCCTTCTAAGTATTATGCAAAGGGATAATTACTATATTTTAGAAAATGAACAGACCTCCTCTAAAAGTCAGCCTTCAGTAAAAATGAAAGTAAAAATAAGAAACCAGAGTTTGTGTTACAATCTGTTAGTGATTGGGAATTATGTCATTACGTATTTTGAGATATTCAGTTAACTTACTGAACATGCTAGTTACTTCTTATGTCAAGAGGAGACTTTTGTCTGTGTGACTACAGTACCTGCATTCCGGGATTTCCTTGTTGGCCTGGGGGCCCTATCTCTCCAGCTGGGCCCTAAGAACAAAAAGAAATTATGGTGTTTACATATGCTCTTTTTCATAAGCCTGTATCCAATGACTTGTTCTTGGCCTCAGGGATCATGCTCTCAGAATATTTTTCTATATTCAAAAGTTAAAAAATGTATATTGTCTAGTAAAGTAGGAAGACTAACCAGGTTGCCCTTTGACCCTTGCACTCCATCAATTCCAACAATCCCCTGGAAATAAAAATGGTAAAAACAGTTTAAATGTCCGATTATTTATCTTCAGGCATTATTAGGATTCCGTGCAATGAGAAACATTTTATGTAGTTGAGGAGACTGAAAGAGTCTGATCCTGTAATCAAGGTGATGGTGACTTACCGGTTGACCAGGCGGACCAGGTGGTCCCCTCGGCCCAACAAGACCTCGTGGACCCTAGAAAGCAAACAAAACAAACAGATAGGAACCTGCACTCCCACTGACACTGAATAAGTCTGGAATACTAAACCATAAATCAAAACGGGGAGGGGGAGAGGGGGCATGAGAAAATTTTTTTATTTTCATTTCTATGTGTTCGCCATGAAGAACGTGCTCGCTGGTTTGTGTGATCTGTTTCTGTCAGCCTCCCTCTTTGTAGGCTGGCCAAGCCACCTGTTCCATAGTCACATCTGTGATCTCCAGGGAAGTGATTGATATGGAAATATAATCATTCAGGCTATGATTTTTTTTTCTCTTTCCTTACCTCTTTCCTCACTCTATCTCTTCACATTCACCACAAACCAAAATTCTATCCTGTATTTCTCTCCTCCTGTGCCACTGGTCCCTGCTTTTCCTCTCTCTTATCAAAACAACCTCTTTATGCTTTAAAACACTTTTTATGACATGGCCTATGGTAACTCTATTTCCTCAAGCACTGAGTGGTCCATTTGGAGGGACAGATCCCTGCAGAGCTGTAACCTTACCTACTGGGGGAAAGACGGAGAGTGAGTCATAACCAATTAACCAGTTTTCATTGCACGTACACAAAAGCAATGACACCACCTTCAACATCGGTACTAAATTGGGGCCACGGCAAGACAGTCAACTTCTGGGTCACTGAGGAACAACAGACAAAATTTAAGGCGACATATTTAAAATAAAGACCTGTGTTTTCTACCTTTTTCCAGCAACCTTTTCTCTTCTAATGCCAGTTAAAACTGTGACAGCATTCATATCATATATAAGATGTGACCATCCTATGCTACAACAGGGGTCTGTTGTGTTTAGAAGAGAGAGCAAATTTTGAGTTTGTAGAAGTTTCTTTTCTATGGCTTTGGTAAAACGTGAGCTGGGCCTACAATCATTGGGGTTTTTTTGCATGTTGACAAAGTGAAAGTACAATTCAGTTAAATGGAACCTCTTTATCAATTATTTTTCATGTAAAAGTATGCTGTGATATGTGCTGCTTTGTGATGTGGATACTCACAGGTTCACCCGGCTGCCCTCTTGGCCCTACAGGTCCATCAGATCCCTAAAATACATGGAACAAATTCAATAAACAGCTCTTCTGCACCTCTTTAATTTAATCTTCAGAGTGGGTTTTTTTCACCCTTCCAGTCTGATGAAAACAGCTCATTAAAGGAATTTGCGGACTGACAGTTAAGGTTAAACTATCTTCGAGCAAAGATTAATGTCTGCACTCTCAAACTTCACTCGAATGCCTAAATATATTGATATTATGCTGAAAGAGCTTAAGGTTTTTGTTTTTTCAATTCCACATCAGGGATGCAGTAATTAGTTTTCATGTATTTTTTAAACTTTAATGCAGATTAAACCTAAGATAAAGAAGTTATGTATACAACACAGTGGTTTAGTTCACAAAAATGTGCTTAGACCTGTGGGACTTTACAATCTAAAGATTTACTCATTTATGTAAAAAGATATGGTGGAATTGGGTAAAAGAGGATATGTCTCCTGGCATTGTTGGTAGGAAATATAATTCGTTACAAAATAGAGCACTAACCTTTTCTCCTTGCTCTCCGAAAGGCCCATGAGGGCCCGGCCTCCCTCTGTCCCCCTACAAGACAAAAGCATTAGTCTAAGGCCTTAAGAATTTTGGAGTGGCTTGTTTTAGCATAGCCATTTTGAGCAGATGCATCTTATTATATACTGTCTTCATACAAACCCAAACAATCATCATTACCATAATGTGCAAATAAACATCTGCCATATAATGTATAGAGTAGTCAGGCATGTCATGTTAGCGCAATTATGTTTGAGTGTCTAAATACATACAGTGACAGTGTAAAATGACCAAATCAAACTCACTCTGTGTCCCTTGTTTCCTGGGAGACCTGGCAGGCCGTCAAAGCCTCTGTCACCCTGGGAAGTAGAAGGGAGGCAAGTAAATTAAACCTTGAAATACTCACTCATAGGGTAATGTGTAAACATTAGCTGAATTGTACTGAACGTCTCCCCTGGCTTAGCTTTCCATCTGCTCTCAGACTGTCAGGGAGGGAGAGCTTTCAGATTAGCTGTAGGTCTGCAAAAATGCTGCTCTGAGTGATAACGACCCTGTTCGGTCGGACCAAACATCAGAGGGGACTGATTTATTAACTAAGCTTTTCCTGCAGCTGTTGTGTATTGAGTTGCCTTGTTGTCAATATCACACAATAAGCTGGGAGCTGTTTGATTCCTAAAGACTTACACTTGCAAGTAGAGATAGTTGGTTATTGTTAAAGAGCTTCTAACATTAGCTAGTGGGATTTGGTTCTTTTTATTGCCCTATATGGACCAAATACTGCAGTATGGTGCAGCATTACAAACTGCAACCATTCCAATCAGAATGCGGTATCATCTTAAATGACATACCTTTGAACCTGATTCACCTGGAGCGCCACGACCGCCATCCACTCCTGAACGTCCCTGTAGAATATCCAATAGAATTAAGAAGAATTCTCCTTTGCAATCGTTATGCATAGTAGGCATTTATCACAAAATCAGCAATATTTGTCTTGGACCCCTACAATACTGAAGGTACCACACCCTTTTGCCAGACTTTCCGTTAATTCCAGCGGTACCAGGCATCCCGCGAGGTCCCTACATGAGATTAGAAAAGAGCACAATAAATGGGAAAAGGGTGTTAAAAGGAGAGCAAAAGGACAAAAGGAAATCAATTGTGTGACATGAATGTTGTGTGTGAGGTTGAAATGACTGGACTGTTCTTACAGAGGGTCCAGTGTCGCCTTGGTCTCCTTTGAGCCCAGCTGGACCTGGAAGTCCCTTAAATCAAACATATTTTCATCAGATGTTTTCAAAGACGGGACTTATTTATTTTCCAAATGCATGGAAATATCACAGAAAGCAAAACGAAATCTTGTAAAGATTTGATGAAATGCTGGAAAAGTCCATTAAGTTTGGTGCAAATTCGTTTTGAATCAGAGGGGTGTCTTACCATTGGTCCTGGTCGCCCGGTGAGACCCAGTGGACCTGGAGGTCCCGTAAGTGATAGCTGAGGGAAAAGCACAACTGTGTGGTTTATGCATTCTACATTAATTCAAGGTTTGAATTCAAACTAAATGATCCACACACAACAGAAAATGGCTTCACAGTATGACCTGACAGCGTGTGTCAGTGTGGGATTCTGGGAAGTGTACCTTTGTCTGTTGCAGAATAGCCTGTGCTTGTGCCTCTTGGGGAGACACCACTGGTCCCTTCTGTGAATCACCTCCATACTGAAACTGGTGGGAAGTAAAAGGAGTAAGGTCCCAAGAGAGGATCCCCCAAATTTAAATGAAGTTCAGTCAAACAGCCTCCCCTGGTGGTCATATCACAACACTACATTAAAAACAAAGATGTGTGTTTGAGTGTCCTATAAGGTCTCACTGGTAGCATCAACAGCGTTCCTGGAGGACCTGGTATACCATCTACCCCAGCAAGACCAGGGCGTCCTGGAAGGCCCTACAAAGACAAGACAAGAAAAAGGTAAAGCGTCATGTATTTTGCTAATTCAGCATTGTTCATGGACTCAGGGTTTGGGCATTGCCCAACAAAAAGCAACGACCCAAATGATGTCATTTTGAGAGAAATAGCTTGTTGGAGATTAGCATTACAATTAGACTATTAATCCCTCTGGTTTGGATCACTCTTTAGGAAAGCAGGGCTTTGGTGGTAGATGTTTGGTCCATCTGTCAAAGAACAATCTAACAAGGATAGTCCATTTATGATTCTGAGCATAGACGGGGGAGATGTATGTGTATGCAAGGTTTATACCAGGTTAAAGAATTCAGAGTTTCAGAGCAAAGCTATAAAACCTGTAAACTTTTGGAGACAGTAGTGCATCTGTCTGTATGTGCCTTCCATTCTGATTGTGTGTTGAAGTAGATTTTAAATCTCTCTCTCACACCCACACATACACAGGCAGATAAAAAAAATTAAATCGGGTCACACATGTGTGAGTCAACATCCTTCAGTGAACTCCAGCAGGGTCAAGAGGACAATGTAATCCACCAGACATGTTTCAGTTTCAGGGCAAATCTGAATTCCCTGTTTCTGACCCTCAGGTGAAAGGGTCAAATTAAAGGCAAACAAATCCAATTAAAATTCAGCTGGTGCGCTGTGGCAGGGTCAGAAGCCACACTCACCGATTCACCTGGATCTCCCCTGGGTCCTGGAGGGCCTGTTGGTCCGGCTGGGCCATCAAGCCCCTGTAAAGGATTATACTCACAGCACTCAGAAAAGCTTAGATTTAGAATTGTGTTAATTTTATTTTTTTTACTGAAAGTAACATTTCCAAAACCAATTAGCTGCTTTTTGATGGCAACTATCCACATAATCAAGTGTTTTTTATCTTATATGAACAGTTATAAAAAAAAAGGCTTACCTGTGGACCCTCTAGGCCTGGGGGTCCTTGCACTAATGTACCCTAGACATAAGCACAGACTAAATGCGATGTACAATAGGACATTATCAAGCTGTTCCCAAGCTAATAACAAGAGGCGTCTGTTCATTAAATGCTTTCGGCTACTCACTGGTTCGATAATGGCTTGCTCTCCCTTCTGGCCTTTCTCTGCCCTGAGTGTTGCCTGAAGTGGGGAAATAGATGGGGTTAGTAAAAAATCACTTGACACAAGCAATTTAAACATCAATCCACTTGATGTATGAAATTTACCTCAAAATTAAACGTGTCAGCCTTTTCCCGCTCTGCAAAGTCAAAGTCGTCCTCATAAATTTCATACTCCTCATATTCCAACGCTGAGTCGTTCTTCAGCTCTTCATATTCAAGAAACTGTTGAAAAGTTAGAGGTTATTCTATGAATGGGTGGATGCTAAAATAACCACATAGTGTTTTTGTTTTGAGGGTATTAACATTCAACCAACCTCATATGCTGTCACATTGGGGCCGACTGTTACTGTAGAGAGCGAAAGATCCTCATAAAGGTCTCCATAAAGGTCACTTTCATACTCCACCTCCAGTGGTTTCTTTACTGGGGTGTCCTGAAGGCAAAAACAAAGACTTAAGTGCCTCATAGCAAAAAGCAAACCAGAGAGCATTGAGCACACAGTCTGTTATTTTTTTCATTAAATTCGCAAAACATGTGAGTCTCACAAAAGTGTGTCAACAACACAGATACAAACTGGCAGCTGAGCAGTTAATTACAATGCTGTAGGGAAATTAGCTGATGGACAGTATCAGATTCATGTAATGGCTTGGCAGAGACAGAAAAAGCTAGAGAAACACTGAACATGAAAAAATAGTTTAGGAAATTTGATACAAAAGGAGCAAAGGGACACACAAATCTTCCTTTTTTTTGCTGAGAGAAGAATTTCTTTTATTGAAAAAACGTGTTTTTGAAGCATGTTCACACGATATTCATACTTCATTTAACTTATTTTTCCAACATCCAAATCCAATTTTCACTTTGAGTGGACTTTAGAACAAATATTCATTCCTAAAAGTGGAATAATATAAAATGTACTGTATTCACACATGAAGATCTTTATAAAGATTTTGTTAAGGTAATTGTGTCCTATAAATACACTTTGTGATTAATTCAGATCATCAAAATGTTTTTAAAAACTTTCAGATAAAATCTGGGAGTATTTACGAGGAAGCAGTGATTAGAATGGTGCTGGTTAGTGGTGACAGGCAACTGAAGAGGTGAGAATCGGAAGAGGTGCTCACTACAGTTAGATGATATTAGGCCCGTGACTGGTTAGAACTGCAAACGGTGGGAGGACATCTACTGATAAATTTTGTCTACCTCCTCAGTAACCTCTGATACAGGCATTGTGCTCCACACAGTACTGTGAGGCACCACAGTGGGGGCCTCAGTTGTGAAGCCAGGTTCATGTGTGGGCGTCTTCACGAAGGTCTCGTCGAACACTTTAGTGGATGAGACAGCTTTAAGCGCACTCTCAATTTCTGGTAGATCTGTGGGCTTAAAATGATCCTGGGAGTAAAACTCGGGCAGCGTAGTGGTCACTCTGAGGAATCCCTCCTCAAAACCTTCCTCTTCCTCTTTTTTCCTTCTGGACCCCTTCTTGCCCTTGCCTTTGCGTTTGCCTTTAGAGCCCTTGTCCCTCTTCTTTTTGTTCTTTCTGTTTTTCCTGCCCTTTTTGGAGACCTCCGTCGGTTCAGCTGGCTGGTCGCTCTGCATCACAGCATCTGACTCAAGGTGAGGTATCTTTTATGAACAAGTGGGGGTGTAAGACGAAGGCACAGGTGGAGAAAAAACAAACACTGCTGTGAATGAAAACACAATATACAAAAAGGCCTGCGAAAAGAAAGTCAAGCAATGCATACAGGCCTGGTGATGCACCTGCAGCCTCAGGCACTCACTGATTCCCACTGTGACCAAACCCAAAATGTGGCAAACGCTCCTTCCAAGAAAAAGTGAATCGCATAGTTGCATCTGTGGTCATCCAGTCTATGTGTAAGTATCATGTACATGAGTAATGTTAATTGCTGGTCAATAATGTGAAGCCCTTTGCCTGCACCTTACGCTGGAGCCCAGTCTGGGAGATTCATGAAGTGATTTATCACTTGTAAACATGGTCAGTGTGTTGGTAAGTGATGGAAAGTAGGTCAGCCAGGTGACAGATGTTGATGTGCTCTGGACCAAGACAGCGTTGCTCATCTGTTGTTCTATAGAGGCCAGCTGGATGACCGTTCAAATGGGCTCACACTTCATTGTTTTATCTCTGGCATCCTACACCTGGCTGTGTGCAAACACATGTGCATTCTTGTAATTAGATAAATGCAGAGGACCTAAGTGCTGAGTTAAAACTGAATTCCTTTAAACCTAGCCAAAAATCCAGGTACTGCTTTCTTTTTTTATGTCTTATTCAAGACTAAATATATCACTACTGAATCATAACAGTGATTGATTTATTTCCATACATGCCTGGAGGGAAGTGGGGGCTATTATATCATATTTTAGCTGTAAGCCTCTGGCTGATGATAAATGTCTGTGCGTGCATGTGTGTGCATACACGCGTGTGTATATGAGCTGGCTAAAGATCACCTGATATTAGGGATGTTTCCGCGCTGGCTGCATTTAAAAGAAGTCATTTCTCCTTTGAGAGATGGTTGATTCTATCTAATCTCTAAATTCTCTTTTGGCAGCCCCTTTTGGAAGACAGATCTGATGATACATTTGCTTTAGCTTCTTTTCCTACTTGGCTTGGGAGCGAGGAAACTGGTAAAATAGTCAAAAGCTTTTCAGAATGTTCCAACCTTATGATATATAGCATATAAAACACAATGAATGAAACGAGAAGTTAACAAATCTGACACACAAACTATGTCTCTGTTGTTCATTGACTTGTGTCATTGTAAAAGTGTAGAAGAGATGTAACTATACTATAACACTGGTGTCATTGCTTCATCCTGGTGCTAATACTGACCTCTGGCAGGCCAACGGCTTGGGGGAGTTGTGGCAAAGCTGACTCACAGTCTGGCATATAGTTAACACAGTAGGAGGCAGCAGCATGGGGGTCTTCCACAATCAGAAGTTGCTGAATATCTCCCTGAAATAAAGAAATCAGAAAGCAACAAAAAAAGTGTAAACTCCTTTTGAATGTGGAACCACATTTTGCAAATAAAAGAATATGATAGTTGCCCCACAACAGGATCTTTAATTTCTCATACTGTTATGTGGGCACAGTCGCGGCATTTATACAAGCATGGAGCATCTTTACGCTCAAACATTCCTCAACAAAATCACATAATTCTTCACAGCTTCTTTGAAGAATTATGGATTCATGTTTAAAAAGAATAGTGTTGCATTTAAAAAAGACTAACTGATCGAAGAAATATACCAAAATACAGTTCTTTAAATCTGTTAATAACGGTTATAGCAGCCAAACAGAACATTTCTTCGTCATTATTTCTCATATATAAAACAATAATTTGAACCTGTTTAAGCAATACAGTAGTCAGAAAGCCAATAAGCATAGAAAAATGCTGGCAATGACAGCTTGTATGGGCTCCTGCCCCCCCACAATCCTAATAGGAATAAGCTGTTTAGACAACGGATGGACAGCTAACTGACAAGCTATTTCAAATATATTCTGAGGTGAAATGTTTTCCAAGGACAGCTGGGAAGCCGTTTGGGACAAATTAAGGTGGATTAACTTCTTGATGTTGTGGTAATTATAGTCACATTTTATTGTCTTATTGTCTTTAATATTGTCTTTAATATAGCGCTGTCAGCTGTGCACGGATATGCAAAGTCTCACTCACAGTGCACAAGACTGTAAGCCTAAAAAGATCTGTTCAGTGAAATATGCTTTAATACATCAAACATGAAAGGAGATTTTATCCACTTATTCTTTTTTTCTTCCTGTTTTGGCCAAAGGCCAAAGTCAAGCAAATGAAATTACTGCACTCTCAGGTGAAAGACAAAGAGGAATAGAGAACAGCAAGGAGGAACTAATCCAATCTCAACTTGAGATCAAAGGTAATGCTTTTTCATGATTTTTTATTTCGCTTTGCAGGGTCTCTCAAGAGTCACAAAAGTTTTTTTTTAACACATTCATGTATGTGCCTCCATCTTCCATTTACTGTACGATAGATGAAAGATTTAAAAACAGGAGTCCTTTAATTCCTGCATTCTGGAAGAAGGAAACAGTTTGGACAAATCCAAAAACTTCTGCAATGGTGCACACTTCTGTTGACTCATTAGAGCTCTCTGCTTTTGCTGGCTGATTGCAGTACGATGTGTGGTTAAAGCAAGCCAGCAATCATACTGCTCCACCATGTCACAACAAAATGCCTCTTCCCTTTGGGTTTTTTTAACTTTGTTTAACTTTATTCAGATCTCATTGTCTTAAGAAATAGATAAATGTCATGTGTAAAGGACAACCTTTTGTAAAGCAACAACATTATAATGATCCTCATTCTCTTAACATTTAACAGATGCTACCCAAAAGCATCTGGCTTCAGTCCCACTCCCTACTGAAGCGAGACATGAATTAAATGTGCTGGTCCAATTTGTTAGGTAAATGATTGCGTTTTCTAATTCATCTAGATAAAGCTGCACTTGTCCGGAGTACTAGAAAATATGTTTACACCCTGAACTAATTGAGGCATAATAGATCAGAATCTGAATGAATATCATCTATATGCAGTCAGCATGTTTGAAACACAGGGGGGCACACAGCAGCTGAGGGGGTGCATAACCACACGGGGTGTTTGCTCTAAAGCAAAGGCAAGCAGATTGTTGAATTTGAACAGCAAAATTCTGTAATCATGTAAGGAATCTGGAAGCAATAGACACATTCAAGCCTGACCACAGTCCCCTTGCTCCCACGCTAAGCTCCCAAGGAAGGATAACTGGGCCGGAACACTGGCCTCCTCCCGAGAACCAGAGCCTGGGAACAGGGGCCTGGAGGTCAGCCTCTTTAGCTTCTCTCCGAATTGGACCAGCCTCACCCAAAATGTTGAAAATGGAAACCTTCACAAGATTTTTTTTTAATCAATGAGAAACATATCTAAATCAGATTTAGGAAAATTACACATATTCAAAAGAAAAGATTGCAAAACTCAGATGGATTAGCAATTCAGAGGAAGACCACAAAAATTGTATATAAAAGGACAAAAGGATGAGTGTGATGATTGATTGTACACACAGTCTGAAGTGTATTAGTCATCACCGCAAATCTAACATCATCATCATCACTCTTCACACAGGACAATAAATAATGGTACGGAAGTGTTTTTGGAGTGAAGCCAAAGATTAGTGGGCTCACTCACTTATGCAAAGGGAAATTTATGGAACCCACAAGGAGACACATTTCCTAGACCAGATAGAATATTGAGTAATTAAATATACCGAAAACTTTGCCACCATCTATGAGAAAGTAAGAAGGAGGGTTGAGAGTAACAGCTTGGCTCGAGAGGGTAACTGAGGTAAAGTGATGTTCCCATGCAGACAAATGTACCAAGATTTTAGTTCAGTGATTGGCCAAAATATCCGTTTCGTTTGGACAAAATGTCCCAATCATAGATTAATTAAAAGCTGAACGTTAGCAGCAGTGTCGACACTTTGTCTGTACGTAAGGTTTCAATTCAAGACCATTTTCTTTTTAGAATGATTATTAGAAAACTGAGCGAAAAGGGGGTTGAAAAGGTGGTCGTCAATCTGAACTTTATACGTCTCACCACTGAAAAACTGAACAATTTTTCCTCTGTTCCCATTTTTTTCATGGTTCCATTGCTGTGCAATCGCAGAGCCCTGAGGACATGGAAGGGAGAGGAGCTGGAGCTGATCTCAATTTCATGCTCTTGGAGAGATTTACTGAGGGCTCATCGGGAATGACAATGGAGAAGGAGCTTGGTATTGTCATGAGAAGTACAGGGAATGAGTGACAGTAAAGGTTCAGACAATGAAAATGAGAACCTGGAATCATTTCCATAGTTAAGTTTGGTGTTTTTCCTGAGGGTAAGCTACGCATGTTCTCTGAGATAGGGTGATTAAAAAAGAGCAAAATGCTGAACTGAAATTTGGCGTTGAAAGTTAGCTGCATGTGTCTGTGAAGTATATTCCCACCTACATGTTAAAGACATTCCGCTTTTGTTTTAGGCTGCAACTCGTCACCTAATATGCGATAGATTTAATCTTTGAAATCTTCCCAACTTTAAAGTCAACCGCCCCCTAACTGCTCATTCACTGACATGACCCACATGTGTTGCATTATAATATTCACAGAAAATCATTTTTCGGGATTATTTCTTTGTTAATGCACTTGGGCTTGAAAGGGTCGATGTTTAGATTTGAGGAAGATTTCAAAAGACAGCAAACAAGTAGCAGTGTCCATGATGTCCAAATCAATCACCAAAACATCCAAATATCAACTGCTTCGTTCATCGATGCTAAATTAAGCAGCAATTTGGAAATACTATGCTGCTTATTGGTAAAAAATAAAGACCACAAAGAGGCTTACAAACAAAATAAAAAGCAACAATCATACACTGTTTGGTTTTGATGCTGATTACCCAATACTAATGAGCTGAAATGGGGACTTTTGCCACCTATTACAGCTAAATCCAGCAAACATTAGTCTGCACAGCAACTTCTATCGTGTGCGTGCATGGTGGGACAAACATTGCAAACCTAAATGACCTCGTGTATTTGTAACCATTGTGTGACTCATTCGTGTTTGTGAATGTGCTGAATCACTTCCTTTGTCTATCCCGACACAGAAATGAACAAAGAATACACAACTGGTGGCAATTAGCTGCATGTGCACTGCACTGTGTCAGCAAAGTCAAATTAAAATCACCAGTCCTGAAATAGCTGGAAGCGAAGGCAATGAAAACAACAAAACTAAACAACCGATAACTCAAGAGGCGTAATGGTATTATAACACCCTACCTCAAAAACCTCCTCATCCAGCAGCCTTGTTCCAAACACAGTGACACCCTCTGTGCTGACGATGGCATTGTCCCCACGAAGCAGATCCACACTCTCCGCCATCTGACAATCCAAGTAAAGGGTCACAGCCTTGTCCTGCACGCTGTAGGCTATCCTGTGCCATCTGAAAGACCATAGAAAAAATTATTGTGATGGATGTTTAATTAGAATGCTTATGTGTGAGGGCTTTTTGTGAAAGGTGAAATGGTTAATTGCAGAACCCCTTGTTTCTCAGTATTCTCTGTTGCCATCAGACTGTTGAAATGTTGAATTCTGTTCTTGTCGTAAGCTGTATGCAACGAAATTTCATTTTGCACGCACTCCGTACATACAAAATGACAGTAAAGTTGTCTAAGTTTAAGTCTAAGAATCAAGAAAGTAAGCTTTTCACACTGGTCGTAAAGAATCTGAGAAATTGGGACAGAGGGATTTCCTAAACAGTACCATCGCTATCTTATTTCCTTTACAGAGACTGAGGGCAAGAAGACTGAAAGAACTGTACAAAAAGCAGTATAAAGCAGAGTGAAGATATAGGAGGTTTAAATAAGAGGCTTGTCACACTTGAGAAGGTGATGTAATATACACAAAGTTATACAGTAGACGTGATCTGTTAGACACAAGCATCAGCAGTCCAGTCTGGTTTCATGGAGAATTCACAGGCTCTTATGCTACCCACTTTCCATCTGCCAAGTTGATCTTCTTAAAGATTGGATAAAGTTCCGGGGTGGGCTGCCCATCTTGGTCCTCGTACAAGAAAACAGGTGAGCGGCCCACTTCAAGCCCCAGCTGCTGCACCCCCTGCTCATCATACACCGACAGCAGGAAGAACTGGGAGCCCTTTTTAGCTCGGACTGTGGCCATAAGGGAGAAATTCTCAGGGAATTTGGAATCTGGATGGATAGAGGAAAGGGGTAAAAAAAAAAAGATGAGTTGTTAAGTTATAAAGAAGAAAGCGCAGCAGCCAGCAGATATTCTATATACACCCAGGCACCCCCCACTGTCAGTGAAACCTGGGCAGAGATAATGATGAAAAATATAGCCCATGAAAGTGCTGAGAGGTCAAAAGTAGAAAAAATGAGAGATTTCTGTTTCTTACAGTTACACTGAATCTAATTCTTAATAAATCCCTTCTTTTCTGAACTTAATTGGAAGGTTTTTTTGGATGTGGTCTTGCAGAAAAAACAAAGTCTAGACACAACCTGGGAATAGCTGTTTAGTGGGAGCGCTAAGCTGGATCTTTTTGATCTTGAAAGCCAAGTCCGTCTCCTCTGTGCCTTTCCTGCTGGTGCAGAAACCAGCCTCCAAGGACACCCCCTCCATGCTCTCTGACAGCTCCAGCCCGCGCAGAACATCAATGGGATAAGCTGGAAATGGAAGGGAAGACAAAATTAACCATCTGCTATTGCAGTTATGGCTTGATAGTACATTGTTCTGTTACTCTTGCTCACAAACTGTGACCAGTTTTTGTTTAAAAATGTTTATTACTCGTTTTGGTTTTATTCCTATTTCACGCTCCAAAAAGCTCTGTTGGTAAATGGAAGCTTGAAGCAGATGGAAGCAGCATGACTCTACTCTTGTCATTCTAATGCTCAAATTCTGCCGGTATGAGAGCCCTCTCTTGTCTCGTTCAGTTAAGTGCTGGTTGTTGTGGAGCTGAAGAGCTGGGTTTAATGTGGCTGCAAGCTGGTTTTAAATTGTGGTGCCTTCCTGCTTCCTATGAGCCGGAAGAGACATGCTCCTCTGAGATGTGGCGGCAGGTGGCCAGGCTTCTGTGATTGTTATTATGGGATAGGGGTGGTGCACAGTCTGACTCATAATCCTGCTGTAGCACACCTGGCAGCTGACACCTGCACACACTGCTCACCCAGCACAAACCCCCGAAACACATCCCCATCCCATTGATCAAAATCTGTTTCCTTTATTCTCATGAGCCCATTTGTTAAATATATACATAAAGAGAGAGATATTTATCTCTCTATATATAGAGAGATTGATATATATTTTAGAGGTCAGCAATTTGATGTACTTTTAAACCTTTTTTTTATCTTTATAGATTTTTCTTGTTTCACCTATTCTGCAAAAGCATTGAACGAGACAAATATCTAAACTGCCCTCTAGTCTAGATCAATAAAATGATTCAAATGAAAGCCCTTGAAACATGAATGCATTTTTTTTCTAAGCATGATAAGATCAGACTGTGTTGAGAGGTTTATTTGATACAGATGTATAAATGGTCTAATTATGTTTATTTCAGAAAGTGTTGCCCCACAGATATGAGCTTCCTCTCAGTAGATGATTTTTGTCCTTACAATGAGCCTGTGCTTTATTTGGAGTCTGCTGTTCGTGTTATTAGATGTCTGCTGATAAAGTGCTGCCATGAGGGTTAGCCAGGATCAGAGCTTTGCGCGCAGCCTGTCTCCCACCAGCTGCTGCAGAGAGCCTTTCAGCGCTTAGCATTCCAGGCATCTGAAATGAGGATCCTAAACCCAAATTGCCTCCTGTAGCTCTCACTGCTCAGAGCTCGCCTTTTATTCTCCTTGTTAATTAAACATGAGGAGAGTTTACTTTAACTAAGACACTGCCAGTGGGGGAAAAAAACAGTTTTACATTTTATACCACTCTTTCTTTGCAAAGCAGACATTATCTAATGTCTAATAAAGAGATGTTAAATAACTTGAACTATTCATCATAGGCGAGCAAGGTACAGATTTTCTGGTATTTCAGACCTCATCCCCAACAATTAGATAAAGAAGAAGCTGACATTATTTTCCTGGACACGTATTGGATATACAATAAATGTATAACCCGTGTTGAAATCCAAATCTAAACAAATCAGCAACAATAGCATCTTTCATTTTTGTACTGCGTAGCACTGCACACAATCAGCATTTTAGTGGCAAAGACAGATTCACTGACAAATGAATATCTTCAACAAGATTGTTTAGTGATTTAGTGAGATTGTTTATGTTATTTAGTGATGTTTAATTTGACTGGAAGAAACATGTAACAAAAACCTTTCAATAGATAGAAAGTTATGGTTTAATTATCTAGCAAAGTCCTTATTTGATCCAAAATAAGCTTTGCATGGCTCTGATTTGACTTTATTTGATGCATGACAGTAAATCAATTTCCTTAAGGCTTGCTGAGTTTGAAGATTCTGTATTTTTGGCAGAATCCAATACAATTGTTATTTCCCTAATGGATTTGTCCATTCACAAAAAAAGAGAGGTGCGTTGGTAGTTTCTAAGGTTAAACAATGTAAGCTTAATTGTACTTCTGAAAATCCAGCACCAGCAGCAGCTGATGATTAAATGAAATTTCAGGCAATATTACAATGAAATGATTAAATCACATAAAAAAGTTTTATCCCATGACTTTTTAAGTTAAATATAGCCCGGTTAATGTCATTGTTATGGCCTGTCAGAAGACCATTGACCTCTGACCCTTAAAGACAAGAAAGGGACAGCAAATCCCACAGGCAGAAATCTGAGAGAAGACTCAGAAGACTCTGTTTTGACAGCGATCAGGAGTTAAATATGCAGGAAGTACCTGGCATCCAACACCCCAAAAGAGGAAACAAATTGTAAAACAAAACAGAAAAACTCGGAAAGTTGATTTAGACTTAGCAGAAAATCAAATTAAATTAATTTGAATTAAATGCTTTCAGGTTGCAACAACAGCTAAAGTATGTAAAGGCTTCAGTGGAGCTTGTCCTAGTTCACAATTTCCCCACTTTTGACAAAGCACCAAAAAAGCCTTGAGTAATGGATGGCTGCCATTAGTACTCTGCACCCATGCAACATTAATGAAAGGATGTTATCTTTTTCCTGCTGTGGATCCATTAAGTCACCTTGGGTTATGCCAATTTTTGCAGCTTCTATACTTATCCTCCAGCACAGTCTGTCTGGACAAGTTTTCCTCCCATCTCATTAAGCTCTGCAGCAATTGTGTCCTTACCTCACCTGTCACCTTTTTTAAAATTATTTTAATACTCAGGAAGATTGTACAAGTTTCCCAGAAATCATTGTTGTCCAGAATACTCCAATATGGCTTAACAAATATGAATAAACCTGCCCCCACCATTTAAAGCTACGCTCACACCATCACAGTATCTCAAAGGACCGATGACTCACTATGTTTTCCAATCACATCGAAAAGGTCAGAGTACTTGGGAAAGAGCCGAAAAGTTCAGCAATGTCATGGATGTCCGCCAATGCTTGTTGAACGGATTTAACATGCACACACCGGCATGTGATTATAATGCAGATACAGATCACTGTGGAAATTATGCTGTTTCGTTGCCATAACTCATTTCTAGGGGTCTCTTCAATTTCTCGAGTGCTTTAATCTACAAAATTATTGCAACTGCCCAACAAATGCCAACAGGCAGTCTTTTCTGTCCATCTTCTACTCTTGCTCCATTCTCTTTACACCCTCTTTGGTGACAACTCAACACCATTTCGGTCATACATGGACATAATGTGTTCTCTGTGTTTCAAAAACAAATATCTCCGAAGACATGCTTTATGACTCACACCACCTACACTCCCAGCCCAGCCTGAAAATACCCCTCTCTCACTAGCACAGTACTACACTGTCAAAAGCTTTTCAGTCTGGGAATTGGGGGAATTTTAACAAGAAATTAAGCCAAAAAGAAATCTGGGCAGTTGCCTATTCCCAGTTGAATATTCCCATAGTATCTTGGGCCACACCCTGAGATGAGAAAAAGAACTAACATTTGAAGTTAAGATTACTGTTTGGAGATGTGCACATATCTTTTAACAAATATGAAATTGCATCCTCATCAAGCAGAAATAAATATCAAGGAATCGCAGCTGCGTAACACTCTGTAAAAGCCCACTGACACGAGGGAAAACCTTCAATGGAGCCCGGCTCTAAAAATCAGTGATTGATAATGAAAAACAATGAAAGATCCAGAGGAAGTCGTTGAATTAATCCAAACATATTTTCTCCCAGGCGCTAAGAAAAGATAATCTAATAAGGACTGCACGTGAGCTTTCGTCTGGGTCACAAATACGTGCAGACAAGAACACAGTGAGTTTAAGAAATCTAAAATTCATTACACACAGAATAACAGGACTGATAAATGAACTTGGCACACAGACGTACCAGACTAAGCCAACAATCTGCACTCACCTCGAAGTCGCTATATTATGATATACACAGTGGACAATTAAAAGCACTGTGGCTTTTTGTGATTTCTAATTCTGCTTTCAATTGTTTTCAGCTGACAGATAAAGCCCAAATCCAATCTAATTTATATAAGGCTTTGCTATTCTGGGTTTCAGTAATGACTTCAACCTTTAACAAACTTTCTTTTTTATAGAAATGGTGGTTAAAGTGACCAACAGTACTGAATGATAAGGCTTGAAACCATGTCAATTATGCATCACATTATGGTATTATTAAACTAATAATGTCAATACTTGAAACACGTGAAAGCTTTTATTCAAATTATTCAACAGGTTCAGTGCCGTGCTGAATGTGGGTCAGCAACTATGTCTTCTTGTGAAGGCTAATACCCACACAAGTTTGTTGTTGATGCCAAAGGATTCAACTGGAATCTCATGACACATTTTCTCCCAGTTCACATCAGTACCACATTCTTCAGTCTCCACAGTTTGCTCTGCCTCTGCCTGAACACTGCATGGAGAGCTGACAAGCCAAACGCTGTCGGGTCCACAGAGAAAACACCTGCCCTTCAAGGCCTTAGACCGAACAGCCGCTCCTCACAAACACACACATTTTTACTTCTAGATTTTTACAGACTTTCTTGTACAAAGGTAAATCCATACCATGACCATAATCTCAAATCAGTGTCTAATACTGGCATGGAGTGGCCTAATTTTGGATCAAAATCCCCTTAAAGAGAAAGGAGGTCCTCAAAATATTTAACATAGCCCAAGCACGAGGAAAACAAGAGCTCAGAGACAGTTTCATGTCAGCAATCACACATAATCATCTAGACACAAACATGCACATGTCCAAGTCCATTAAGGTTTAACTTCCGCTGTTAGTTTTTCTCTGAGACATAACAGTAAAAAAGCAATTACAAAGAGAAGTCAGTTTTGCTGAAATCATACATGCTATCGACACACTTGCGGAAATTTTTAACTTAAGAACATTAAGCAAGTTCAGAAAGGAAAATAAAAGTCAGATCGGATTAAAGAATCTGCATATGACTTGTGCAGGAACTTTTTTTACTCTAGCATGATGTGGATTTGATTGATGCATCTCACATACTGGAATAGACACAGATGACATATAATGCAAAACTATAAAGAAGTAAGCTCCTCTGAAGTCTGCTCATTGCCATTCCACAAGAAGCTTCTTCAGTTAGTCCAACAGAAAGCTGCACGGGGCTTCCAGTGATCAGAGAAGCCTGAGGGGACGGACATTTCTGGAAACCAGATGTGTGTTGAATACTATAGGTTGCTGTCTGGCACCACAGAGTGATTAAGCATCAGTTTTACATATTAAAGACTTGGGAGAAATCCAAACCGTTGAGTTGCTCAAACAGTGTTGAGCAGCAGCTCAATGTGTTACTCACCAAAAGAGCAGCTAGGGACAGACATCAGCAATTCTATGCTATCTAATGTTGAATATATTCACTGAATTAACACAAAACTCAAGAAAGGACTACAACAATAACTTTTTTTTTCAAATAATCTTTTTCAAATCTAAACCCTGTCAAATCTAGCTGCATTTTTCATTTGTTTTCATTTGCCACTTTTTTGTGAGGGATCAAAGGAAAATGAGGCTTGCTATATTCCAGTGGGAGTTAGATGCAGGACTGGTAAGAGGACTGGATCAAACAGTACACAGTGAGGGGCCTGTATGCACAATTTCCCCCTGTCATAGAACCAGTTAGGGATTAGGCAGGGCATTGGCAGGACTAAAATGATGTAAGCATAAAGATAAGGCATATAACAGAAAAGCAAACTGTCCCCGTGCTCAGACTTTGAACTAAACTGAAAACAAAGGGAGAAAAAGAAAAACTGGACACAAATGCGTTGAGGCAAACGAACAGAGAATTCTGCATGAAAAGAGATCTGGACACGAGCAAGAATGTCCCACTTCCTGTCTGTAAACACAACTACAAAGTGCTCTCTTATGTCCCTAGAACACACACAGAAAGCATATGGGAAAACATTCTTTCACTGTAACACACAAATGCTCATGTGGAGGCAAAAAAAAAAAAAAGAATTATCGAGCACGAGCACATATCTAACATTGTGATATCTGCTCCACCATATGTTTCATGCACTTTGAAATCATCTCAGCCTCTCACTGTGCAGGCCCTCATTAGCAGTGGACACAGCAGCCACTGTGCCACTTGAATGTGATTAGGGTGGTTGGCTCACTTCCTCCTGCCATTATTTCATTTCATTTCAGGCAGTATGACCAAAACGAACCCTGCCAGCCGTAAACTGGGTGCATGTGGAAAATCATGAGAGGACATCAAACATCTCTGAGCATCTTAAAAAGCACAGGGTTCACCTCTGCCGTCGACGAAGCCTGAATGCAACACCTACAAGCCGGCAAGTCTGCAGCTAAAGATAAAGCTGCTCAGCTATGACCACATGCGACGCCATGTGGGTGGCAGGCGGTCAAACGACATATGTGAGTACAAAGTGTCTTCAATTGGTGAAAAACGTCAAATGTTCAATAAAGGGAGGCTGGAACACAGGCTAAGAGGCAGCCACAGGTGTTTGCCATAGACCAAAGGTAATCTCCATACTCCATATTTGTAAAGATGTAAATTTAATCTGATCTTTACATTTCTATGAGTAGTGCAAGTCCAGGACTATCTGTAAATCATGATGCCTGCAGGGGAACTTCAAATATATCTGTTTGCCAGCATATTCATGACCCTGGCTGTCAGAGAGTTATTGCTAAGCTCTTTCCCGTAAGACCTATGCCAACAGAGGGCACATTAAACAGATCCATGACAGGAATTTTAATCTACTCAGTCCTCTCAGTGTTCAGCCATTCACCTCGTTTCTCGAGCCAGTGTTAAAGCTTTTCACAGTAAACCGACGCCGGTCACAAGCAAACTCAAACATGACATCACAGGCTGCATCCCCCTGGAAGCGCACCTGATCCAGAACAGGGCACATCCAGGTTCAAGCCCTGGGAATAAACCCCTCCAGAACACATGTGCAGCAGGAACAGCTGTATCTGTCTAAATCTGCTCATCGTGAGACTGCGTTGAGAACCGACAGATGTAGATGTGCACAGAAAATATCAAATAACCACAGTCACTAGCACAGATCTGAGACTTTGCAGAAACTTCCGAGATGGATTTGAGCCATCTTGCAATTTTAACGTCAGCCTTAAGCGACGAACAAGTTTCTGCATCGCTAAAAAAAAACATTTGCTCTGCCTCAAATCACCGAAATCACCCACGATTATACTTCTGTTAGGGGAAAGCATGACTCACGTTCACAGTTGAGATGACAACAAAAAAGAAACTTGCAGGGCTAAGAGTGGAACGCTTCCCCCCAGCCACAGCCAATGATGGCAATCGATATGCTTACTTATTTGAACATTCATAACCAGCCTGAACCCCGTTAGAAATGAACTGCAAGTGTCCAGAGGGATACTGTACCGGCTTGAGTCGTGGCTAGATGAAGAATGATAAACAGAAATAGCTGTATTCTCCTGTGCGATATGGTCCTCAACTGGTCCATCTTTCAAAGTTTGGCCCCCTTGTCCCAGCACTTTATTCTGCAGAAGATCTGCGCGTTGGATTTAGGAAGCCATGCGTGGAGGAGAAAAGACAGGGTCTACTTCTTTTATAGTTAAAGAAGTTTTGCCGTGTTTGGCTCCTCTCAGTTTCGTTCTGTCCTTCTCATTCAATCTCTCCCTCTCACCATCACTCCCTCCCTCCCTCTGCTCTCCACCTCCGCCTCTCCCCTCCCAGCGGCCGCTGTCGCAGCAGCAGCATGCACGAGCACTGCCCCCCCCCCCCCTGCACAAAACCTCCCCATAACTCAAGTTTATCACCTGGGGTAATTTGTTAAGTGTCTCGTCTTTGGGGTTGTTATTACCTTCAGAGGGGGTGTAGCGTACAACAACCCAACCGCTTAACACGTCAGTCTTGTTTTTTGTTTTTTGTTTCTGCAGCATAGATTGAAAAAATATTTGTCAAAGGAGCATTGGTCAAGTTACAAACATTTTAAAAGTGTTTATTTGCGCTATAAGCATACAACAATTATGACAAAACAACAAGAAATCAGATCAATTCTGTTGTTGTTGTCTATTCTGTGACCCACTGACTCACAGGTAACTTTCACCTGCAGATTCAAGTCAATAAATCAATCAATCAATCACTTTATTTTGGTAAATTGTCCACATTAAACACAAGAAACAACAAAAGAAAAAAATGGAAAAAAAAACAATAGACAAACCCACAGTTTATCAAAAAAGGAAGTAGCTTTGAAATTCATATATGTGTAACTAAATTGGAGATGCAGTTAAAAGATTCAGCTTTTTCTGATGATGGCAATCCCCATCATCAAATCACCCGTCTCCCAAAACGCACCTGATGCTGAAATGTTTGCTCAGGCTGCAGCTTGAACACTGTGAGGCTGGAGGCTGAATCTCCAGGTTAGAGGTTACTCACGTCCAACAGGGAGACGCACGGCTCGTCGGCTTGATGAGTTCAGCTGCAGGCACACCTGGGTAAAAACCATTACTTAAGAAGCTTCCCCGTTCAAGGCTTCCCTTGTAAAGGTCTTTAATTTTCGTCAGATCTAGCAGGCCTTGGCCTCGGAAGGCTGTGGTTTCAGCGCAACAGAAACATCCATCTTCTTTAAAACGTTTTGTGATATTGAAAATGAATTGACCAGATAATCGTGTAAAAACATAATATCAGGAGGGAATTTTGCATCAGAATTTGCAAACTTCCCGGCTGAAGGAATTGAAATCTTTGACAATTCGATCAAACACACACCTCTTTTCCAAAAGGCCTCTTCAGACCTGAAGGTGAAACATTGTCAAGATCCCAGACAAAGTAGTCCAGTTGCCTTTACTCAAACCTTTAGAATTACAACAGTAACCAGGGACATTCAGATTGGGTGAAAGTAGCATTATGGTGTCTGAATGATTAAAATATGGAGTAAATAGGGAACGTGCTTCACTATGGGATTTTTTTTAAGTTTCTGTCTGGCATCAAATTAGAAATTGTTTATAAATGTAGTGAGTTCAGTAAAGACCTTGAAATATTTGTGATTGTACGTTTGCCTTTTATAATAATATCTCAAGAAAATAACAAATTAAATCAAAGATCTCTAAGCTTTTCTGGAAATGAAATTATCTAAATAAATCAAACATAAGGAATACAAAAAATAGTTTCATTAAAGGCGTGACAGAGAGGAATAGGAAGAAATTATTTACTGGGTCACCCAACAATTGATAAAGCAGTTAGAATCTGTCAATGCTCTGCCAAAGCTCAAACTTGTGGAATTTTAATGGTGATGAACTGTAGAAGCTGAAATCAGCCTGCCACAGATCTAATTAGGAGATAGCCATACTCAGCTGAGACATGCTCTGAGATAAGACTTGTAAAGACCTTTGCTAATTGGAAAATTACCAAAGATAATGTTGCCAGAGTCTGTGCAACAGTTGGCTTTTGTAGCATAACTGGGAAATTAATTCCTACACAAGGAAAGGATCCAGACTGTCTTGAGGGAGAGGAATGTCAAACCATAGAAAGAATAATTATATATATTTAAGGTTACAAATGCAATTTCATTTCAACACTAACTGCATTAATGGTCTCCAATGTGTGATTTGAGAACTCCACTTATAGTAATGGTATGAATTAAAAAATGTCATTAAATAACTTTAGTCTTTATATTTGTCATGTTAGATCAATATTAATTGGTGTCTGCAGTTAGAGAGTACATTTTCCTTACTGTGTCTAAACAAAAAGATCGAAATGCATTTCTATTAGGAGTAGCTGATTAGAAACATTACAAATATCCATTAAACTGAGACGTATAAGGGGCTGTCAATAGAAGCAACCAGATGACTGAACAGACTGGAGTTGATCTGGTGAGTAAACAATGGACTCCCTGACCTCCTACCATGTCCCCTCTCAGTACCAGCTTAGCCAGGCTGAGTCAGAGCCACATTCCTGGCAGCTTTTAGCAGATAGTTACTAAGAGTCCAGTGGATAGTCTGAGCTCTGGGTGAGAAATATTTCCAGAACATGTGCTATGTACTTTTGTCCTAATACTAGGTATTTACTTCTTAAAGGCACACACAACGCACATGAAATAAAAACAAAACAAACAAACAAAATTGTCTTTCTGATTTGAACTAAGTTATTTTTTATTCAGTTTATTCTAGACGTGCTCTGTTTGCATCAGCACACACATGCACAGTGTCTGTGACAGGCAGGAAAACTTGAAATAAAGTAAGTCCAGTTGCCTCATGCTTTTACTTTGACAAGGTGTTTTACAGACAAACAGAGTAAGTGATTTTATTAGTTGTGGTGATATAAAGACGTCTCTAGTGATGGACACAGTGAGAATGAACTCAATCCTTTCGGCAGGTCTTCTTTCCTGATAGTCGACCAGCAGAAACCAACAGAGATGCTTTATTTTTTACACATTAACAACCCAGTAGAAGCACCGAGATAGGGTATTATATTATGCTTTGGAAAAAACAATCAATGAACTGTGGAGAAAACGAATCAATCACAGACTTCTAAAGAGGGAAAATAAGCTCAACAATGTGCTTCCTTTTTCATTACAAGACCATAAAATATTAACCTATCTATGCCTTAAATCCATGTGATGATGACATTAAGATATCACTATTTGCATTTGACATTTATCACACAGAAGCTATTCTGTTACAAAATGAATATATTTAAGTCTCTCTCTCTCTCTCTCTTTCTCTCTCTCAGTGCAGTTCATTCTGGGCTGAATGATGACAGTAGAGCTTCCATTTTCTTTAATCACTCTGAGCGTAAAAGTGACGTAATCTGCCGCCACTTCACATTTTAGATCCAATTGTGAAACCTCCTACAGATAAGCAAGGATTAAAGACCAGAATATGTTTTCCGTGTAAAGTGGTTTTAAAAAAACCCTGCTTTAAAAAAAATCTTAATAAATATAAAGTTGACCAACAATCCTACTACCAATCTTAAATGAAAGCTTTATGTTTTTGATGGAAAATCAGGGATTATATATGTTTATATATGTAGTTTAGCTATGTAACTATGTGCTATGATAGCACCTCAAGAGAAATAAGACTAGATCCTCCACTGTTTGCTGGTCCATAACTCAGACAACATGTGTCAACAGACATAACAGTTTTTATCAAAACACTCCTTACACAAAACCATCGGGCAGCAGAACTTCCAGTTTTACCTGTCTGGAGAAAGAAAGGGCAGAGTGCTCACATCAGACAGAATACGATTGGTTGCAAAGTATTTCATCACAACTTCTTTTATCTGATCCCATTTTGGCTATTGGTATAAAGGGAAATTAGATATCTACTTGAGTCTTGTTGAAACAAATATGATCAACATCAGCAGGAACTGAATGCAGAGTTATGCTATCAGACATGAATGGACTCAGTTACGAAATCCTGGAGAACTGAAGGTGCCAAACCACAGTTCTAACCATGAGAAAGCATGTGTACATCTTTTCCCTTTAGCACTGGTCCAATAAGTAAGGGTAAGTGCAAGTCTGGTGATAATTAGGATAATTAGAGATGAGGGAGGCTAAGCTAATTAACATCTAAGAACCATGTCAGTTAAATTTACTGCTCAAACAAATAGACTAAACAAGCTAGATGACCACAATGACCAGTGACCACACGCATGTTTGACCTTTTGCATAACCCTTTCTTCACTTACCGAGTGAACCATCTTGATTGTGTTTTTATAGGTAATGCCAATTATTAATCAAAGGCAGCTTTCCCCATCAAATATCTCCAACAGTCATTCAAACCACACGTGAACTTTAAAATCAGCACTTTCTTTGCCTCGTGTCATATTTACTGTTGTACACTGTTATAACGTTTTTCTTTTTTCTTTTTGTCTTTCTTCCTTGCATTTTCTTTTGCCAGAGTGGACATAATGTGATGTGTTTCTATAAAAAAATGGTTTAAGTATTTGGACGGGCTTTTATGAGGTTTGCTTGTGCCTCGTAGGACCCTATGTTACCCCGCTTTTTCCATATTTAGAGGTAATGAAAAGGATTTCAAAACACTTCCTTCTTTACTGTGCATCTGTTCCTTCTCTGTTCTTCCCATGCACTAACCCCCAGCTACTCTTTCCCTTTGCCCCTTTCTTTGGCTCTGTCCTCATGGAGTTTGCATTCCACACCTCCTCTGCAGACTGCACACAAAAGAGCAGAAAGCGCCACTCCTGATCTGTGGCAAACATTCCAGTCTTCTACGTCTTTTCAAACAGATACAGTCCCTTATCCTTTTTGTGGCATCGGACAGAGTGTCTCTTGTCCAGTGAAACTGCACAGGCCAGAACGAGTGAAAGGGAATCTGCTGAATATTGCTGCAAGTAGTGACGCAAAATAAATGAAATGGGTTTTTTGCTGTTTTTTTGCTGTAAAATGAGAAATAAAAAACATTTAAAGCAATACTTGTATAAGAGCTTACATTGATTTATCATAACAGAAAAATAAACAAAAGACTCATCACAAAATCCAGTTTTAATTTTGTGTAAATGGAACCAGATGTGATAGAGTCAGCTGATAAAGCAGAGATAGATGCAGGAGCATCTGTTCATATATCCTTAAAGTCAGTGCACAGGAAATTGACTATTAAGCTATAAAAAAAAGTTTTGAGTGGGTGGGAATGTCATTGTCTTTGACTTGAATTTTGGCAGTGAAGTTATAGATCGTTTTGGCTCAAGGCACTGTTGGAATATGTTCAGAGGTGTTTCAAAGAGGTGAAAAGTTCCTAGGAGGGATCATTAAATCATGAAGCATGGGAGTTTTCTGCTGTAAGTAATTCATATAACTACGGACGTGCGCTGGAGAACGTGCATGTCGGCTCAAAACTTTAGGAGCTGATGGAGCACGTGGCATTTGAAGAACATGTGTGGACTTGTGTGTTATTCCCCCCTGTTTGTCTCTCTCGGAAACCTTTGTGTGTCTCAAGGACTTCTAAAATTCCACAACAATAGCTTGGAGGCTAGAAAACATTAATGGCTGGCCAGCCCTCCCCATCATCTCTATTCACACCTGCCCACGGTATCCGGAGGCCCAAGGGAGAGCGTCTCTGGACTTTACAGCAGCTGGAAATGTCAGCGTTTCTCACATCGTGGCCAAAGGTAAATGGCCATGATAGTCTCTCATTTCTACAATAATGATCTGATAAATATTTTGGCCCATCTGATTATGAGGCGATTTGTTACTTTATTAGAGATTATACTAGCCCATACATTTGTCTTTGGTTTCAATTAAGACTCAAGATCAAAGCTTTGTGGTTGTTTTTTATTCAGTTTCTCTATCACACTTTGACTCAGACTACTGTCTGTTTAGTCACCACATTTTTCCAATTTCGACCAGGTTTTAACATTTGTGTAGTTATTTTGGCTCGATATGGATCGGTGAACTATTCTGACATTAAATATGGCTGCACTAGAATTCATAAATATAAGATTCTAAGCCTTAAAGTCAGTGTCTTGCCAGCTGTTTTGCAAGCTGTCTGTTTGGATTTAAATCTTTTTCTCTCTGGTAGAGTAAATTTAAGGTTTTATCATCTCATTTCAACTTCTGCTCTGGAAATGGGTTACATTGCTTAGGGGTGTTTTCTTTCTTTGCTGTTTTTTTTTGCAGGCATCAGCTTTGTGAGATGCAAAAAGAATGTAAGCCTGAAATGTATGCAGGCTGACAGACTGCTGAGTGTCGTCAGCAGTCTGTCAGCCTCTCTCACGCAGTGACTGTAAAGGCTTTTTAATTGTAATTGTTAAGTTGAGTAGTATGAAATTGGATAAAGAAATGTATAAAACACACTCATACCTGAGGTAAAACTTTCAAATTAATCAAAGATGCGTATTTTTTTGGAAGGTGGGAGGATGCTGGACTGCCCAGAGAGAATCCACACAAATACAGGAATCAAAGGCTGCCAGACCAGGATCAAACAAAGAGGTGCATCATGGGATGTCCCACAGCAGTCTAGCAGTATAACCACGGAATGTTTCTGGGTCACCTGAGCTATCTCTAGCTATAAGCTTTGTGAAAAGGGAAAATTTTCCAATTGAATGTGTCCTTTAAGGATAACTTGAACTGTGTCTAAATAAGTAGTTTGAAAACATATTCGGCTGCTTTTCACAAAGCAAAAACAATCTTTTTGAGATCCCTGTAAAAGCCATTAAATGGCACCAAATGTGATTTTGAGACTGTAAAGAGGTGACAAAACAATTTATAAAAATGATTAAAATAATGTTTTAACTAAAATAGAAATAACATAGGATAATTGCAATCTGACATGGGTTACTGGAAGTCAGTCAACAAGATCAGTCAGTACAGAATTTCTGAGTAACCTCCCATCATCCTAAAAGTAAGCATGGAGTAATAATGTAGAGTTAAGTAGGGCAAGAGAATTCAACCTGGAGATATTGATCATGACGTATTCATCAAAATGAATATGCCATGAAGCTGCCTGCCTGGAAAGGGGGAAATAATATGTTTTATCAGAAAAGATAGTTAAAATTTAATTAATCTTTGTAATACACAAGGTGTCAAAGACAGAAAAGAATATAAAGTGAAGTCACAAATAGTATGTTGAGATCCTTTAAAAGCCTGGATTCTCCATCAAATAAGAAACAAAATTTCCCAGTATTGTAATCCTAGTTTTAGCCAACATTACATAATATATCAATTCAAATTATACCTTAAAGAAAAAATATCCTGTCTTAACTATCTGAGAGACAAAATGTGTCCTAATCAGTTCACCAAAGCTGACATGGCATAAATGTTAAAAAGTTAAGTTAGACAGGAAAACATTAAAGATGTTTAAACTCTACAATTTACAATTTCCTCAAGTAAATTCTTAAGGAATTAAATTGCCAACTCTTTAGATCACATGTAGACTAAATGGAAAACATAGTCTTATAATTGTCTTATGTAAAAACGGCATTTTTCAGTTTGCATAAGGTTGCATCACTTTTAAAAAAACGAGCCTCAACATGACAGAGTCCTCCATTGAAGACAGATAAATAAGCCTTATCAGATATCTTGTCAAAGCAACTTTGGCCCCTTATAACACCAATGATTAAAGTCCACCATTCAAATACACAGACCCTGATAACAAATTTAGATTAATCTTTTGTCGTTTTTAATAGAATCTATCATTTGGCATGTCATGGCATTGTAATCATGACAGGAATGGCATATTTAAACCCCCATTCTGCTTCTCATGTATGCAGTTCCCAGCTTGATCACAAGATGGCAGTGTCCTTCAGTTAACCACTTTAACTTTTTACCTTTTAACAGTACAGTACACCCATAACCAGAGTTAGAAAAAGATAGACATGATAGAAACATCCCTGAGGTGATAAAATTACATTTCACGTTGTATTTAAATTCTTGGAAAATAAGAATCAGAAATGATAATAATCATAATAACAAAAGGAAAACTATTTTACAAATCTATTATTTTGGTTATACACACAGGGCAGACACACTGCTGAAGAGAACTATGTTCATTTTAAAAGATAAAATCCCACTTTCTACATTTCACCAGCTGAAATCCACCGTGTTGGGGGTAAACGTCCCGCGCAAGGTGTGGGACACGGTGTGTTTGTTACAGTGGGAAGCTGCCGGGGTCAACAGCTCAGAAATCAAATAAGCACTGCCCCCTCTGCGGCGTGCACGTGGGCGCGCGCACGACCCCACTTTTTTTTTCCTCCTTTCTTTTTTTTTTTTTTTTTTGTAAGGTTTAACTGGGCTACAAGCTCCTGGCCTGGACGACACCTATCAAGTTAGGATCTGCAGGAGGTGTTGTGTGACGTCTTTTTTTGGGTTACTGATTTTTACTGAACATGTGACTGAATTAGGCGCTCACATGGCTGCGGTGGCTGCATGATCCGCTTTAGATTTTAAAGGTCCGGTGATCGGTAGCTCCTCTCCGCAGCAGCGACCATCCTGGAGCAGAGGACCGCTGAAAAACACAGCGCCTACCCCGGACAGATCATGGCGAACAGTGGGCAGAAAGTTGTGCTGATCACCGGCTGCTCCTCGGGCATTGGGTTGCGAATTGCCGTCACACTGGCCAGTGATGAAAAGAAACGTTACCATGGTAAATACGCCCGATCTTACATTGTTTATTTGTGAGTCAGAAAACAAATCTATAACAGTGTGGCTCGATTGGAAGGCTTTGGCTGGCCGTGTTTACTTTTCCTACGGCACTGGCACCGCGCACCTCTGTTACGCATAAAGTTTCGACAGAATTGCCCGCACAGCTCTCTGTATTGCGCCCGTGTGTGATTTTTAGACAGGTTCCACTCGTGTAGTTAGAACAACTAAATCGGGAATCTCGCGCTTTTGTCAGGGCTGAGACTCAGTGGCCCCTTTGGCTCACCTATTATCATCTGAAAACGGGGCTGCCAAAAGCGGAGCTCTGCTCGGATGCCGCTTGCCAGACAGGATTCAGAAAAGGGTCTTGTCAATTCTCTTTCTACTGACTTCTTCTGCACAAAGCCCCCTTTATTGCTGTGAATTGTAGAGCGTCTGCTCCAGTTTAGTACCGTGTCTAATGTGCCTATAGTCCCCTCTCTGGAGCGAGTGTGGAAAGGGGGACAAAGTTTGAGACCTGTACAAGCATGGGTTCAGTCTGAAGCAGGGGCCTTGTTTGAAGTCTTCATTGGGACACAGGGGAGTTGGGGTGTCCCACTTTGACATTGTTTAGCCTGCACTTCCCTTCCCCTGCTTCCCAGCCATCATTGATGTCACTGTAGAAATTGGAATAGGTTTAAAACCCTTTTCATTTCGGACCACCTTAGCAACTCCCAGCCTTGTTTCCGTAAAAGCGCTGTGAGAAGTCTTTCTTCCCAGCTGTGACTCATTACAGAACTGTGAAAGCCTTCATCACACGTTCTGTATGATCATGTCACGACTGGTAACATTTAGCCACGTTGAGAAAAAATTGCAAGGGTGAGCTGAACTTTATGTTTCTTCTCACTGGGCCGTTGGGATCTGATGGGATTTATTACTGTGAAATAGATGAGCAAAACAAAAGCGGTTAATGCTCCCTCCCTCCCTCCTAACATTGGCTTAGGAGATTTTATTCTTAGCTGTGAGCTGCTTTCAGTCAGCAATGAGAAATTGGGGCTGATCTGCGCTGTTCCTCTGAAAATCCAGCAGAGATTAAATATTGCTTTGTGCATAGAGTAACAATTGGTTGTAGTGACACGTACAAAAGTCTGAGAAAGTCCCCAAATGCCTCAGTGTTTCCAGTGCGGAGTGGCTAATTCAAGAATGTTTAAGCTGCCCATGAGTATTTCCTTCAGGAACCAGAAGAACAATGGCTCTCTTGTTTACCTCTTCATCAATACATAAATCTTTCGGTTGCTCACATGAACGCCCGTCTTTCAAATCCGAAAATTATCTCTAACAACATTTACATAAAGTCATAAATGCTTAGTGTATATCTGATAGCTTGTCAAGACAGTTTATTTAGCGATTCCAGAAAAAGCTGATATAGCAGTTGAATGAAAGTGAATGAATATTTCCCAGCAAATCAAGCCTCAGCAGCATAGTAAGACCCTTTTATCCTTATTAATCCAAACTAATCGCACACGAGAGTTAGGGAAAGCTTTATCTTCTACAGACTTCAGGTAGATTTAGAAGAATGTGGGGAAAAACATGTTGTTTACTGCTGATTGTTTCTATTGTGCAACAGCACCGCCTCTCTTTTCCCTGTTAGGTAATGTCAGACAGGGAAGTGTGAGCAGAACGCGACGTGGAGAAGTCCATGTAAGCAAAGTCAACTCAGTGTTCCTGCACTGCATGTGGGTCAAGTGTGTGAAGTTCACAGGACAGCAATTCAGTGCCCCGTTACAGGCGTGGCCTCGTTTAGGAACTTTGACCCCGACTGTGTCACAACTAAGTGTGTGTTCCTGCTCTTGTGCCTGCATACGATAAGTTCTCCAGACCCATAACCATACAATTATAACTATGTCAATATTCCATTAGTTTGTGAGTTTTTAAGACAGAGAAAACAACAAGCCTTTTTTTCCACAGGTATTCATTATCAAGAGATACATAGAAGAAGAAGTAAATCTTACAATAATAAACAAAAAAGTTTAATCCTGGTTATTTGAAGTACTTTCTGAGCAACAGTGAGAACTAGACGGTAGAATAAGGCATATAGAATAAAGCCTGACAATAGAGTCAAATATGGCTCTCCATTTATATTGATTGCACTCTTTGAGCACTGTCTATGCATCAAACAGTAAGAATCATTCAGTTCCACACAATCATTCTTCTTTCAAAATGAAAAAAAATATCTAAAAAACAATGTTGCTTGATAAAAGATGTTATCCCTGTTCTTGGTTCTTCTTTCTCTCCTTTATTGCCGAACCCTCCATCCTCCGCTCTTCGTCTTTCCTGATCAGTCATTGCCACCATGCGGGACCTGAAAAAGAAGGACAAGTTGCTGGAGGCAGCTGGAGATGCCTATGGGAAGACCCTGGTGTTGCTTCCCTTAGACGTGTGCAGTGATGAGTCGGTCAGGCAGTGCATCAACAATGTTAAGGACCGCCACATTGATATTCTGAGTGAGTAAAAACTGTGCTAACTCCCCTTTTTTGAGGTGTTCTTTATGTATGCTCATGTTTTTTATGTTTAACTTAATCTGTAACATACAGTATATTAAAATCACTCAGCATTAGAATGGAACTTGAAATGTAATCAATTTGTTGTGTCTCACGTTTTGGCCAAACACACAGAGCGCTGACCCTCACCTCCCCTGCCACAGCCAGCATTCTGCCTTTAATGCCTTCTGTAATGTAGTTTTACGGAGGAGAATTGCTTTTCGAGGCAAGCTGAGAAAGAAGACTGTTCCAATGATACAATTCCAGGACAAAGGTTGTGAGGACTCACACCATCAATGTTTTCAGACAGAGCTCGCAGCCTCTGCGGTTCTGCTGCTGAGTGGGCGGCTGGAGGGGATTGAGAGTCTTGAAATTCCAGTGGGCAGATAGATCATGCACCCAAAGAGAAAAGGCTATCGGGGGCTATCATGAGGGAGATCCAGCCAACACTACTCCTGTAGCTGTATGTGCTTTTTGCGCCTTAACTTGGGTCTTAAAAGGGGCAGCTGATGGTTCTGAGAAGAAAAAACATCAATAGATGTCAGCCTCAATAAACTGTGACACCTGTAATGGATTCTGATGCCCAGCATGTTTCTAGATGAATCACTACTCCACGCCTGCGTTCAATTACTTAAACCTTTAGAGCAGATAAGTATTCTATTTATAAACCTGCTTTCACCTCACTCTAAATCCAACATTACACCCACTTGATGTAATTACTCGAGACCCAGAGGCCCCTCGACATGGGCTGGTGTTACATCACATCTGGCTGCTGTGGTCACACGCTGACACCTGGTGGCAATGCTCAGTACCAATTCTGAGAAAAAAAAACAATCATTTTCAGTGTCAAAGTCTGCATCGTGACAATGCTAAACGTGTTAAACCGTGTTGTCCGTGTGCTTCCTGTTAGTCAACAATGCAGGAGTGGGCTTGCTCGGGCCTCTGGAGAGCATCAGCATCGACGAGATGAAGAGAGTGTTCGACACCAACTTCTTTGGTGTCGTTCGAATGATCAAAGAAGTGATGCCAGACATGAAGAAGAGGCGTTCAGGACACATCGTGGTCATGAGCAGTGTCATGGGCCTCCAGGGTAGGACATGTCACTATAAGCGGGGGATAAGAGATGCGGTTGTTTCCTTAAATGTGTTAAACATTTTACAACAAAAACAAATGATTTGATTAATTATCTACTTTGTTTTTTTCCAAGTCGTTTAGCCCTTTGTGTGTAAATTAAGTTTGAACAATGCATTTTCTTATCAGGTGGTGTGAAACTTACTTAATGCATTCCAGTGGTAGACTCTTATCTCCCTGTTTTTTTTGTTTGTTTGTCATTGATTAGGAGTTGTGTTCAATGATGTTTACACTGCCTCTAAGTTCGCGATGGAAGGTTTCTGTGAGAGTATGGCTGTGCAGCTGATGAAGTTCAATATCCGGTAGCTCAACTTCTGTATTATATTCACATCAGTCCTCGCTTTTGTCATGATACAGGTTTACTCACTGGCTGTTGTGTCTCTGCCTTGTCTCAGGTTGTCCATGATTGAACCTGGCCCAGTTCACACTGAATTCGAGACAAAGATGATGGAGGATGTTGCTAAGATGGAGTACCCTGGGGTAGATGCAGACACAGTTCGTTATTTTAAAGACGTTTACTTGCCCTCGTCGATAGATATATTTGAAGCCATGGGCCAAACGCCAGAGGACATAGCAAAAGTAAGAGAACGAGTTTTGAACTTATGCTTCTGTCAGGATATATGAATTCGATCATAAAGTATTAATCATTGTCTGCAATCATCCAAAACTTTCCTTTGTTTTGTATTCCTCCAGTGTACTAAGAAGGTTATTGAGTCAGACAGCCCTCGCTTTAGGAATCTGACCAACAGCCTCTACACACCTATCGTGGCCTTGAAATATGCAGATGAGACTGGCGGCCTGTCTGTGAACACGTTCTACAATCTGCTCTTCAACTTTGGGCCTCTCATGCACATCACCATGAGCATCCTCAAGTGCTTTACGTGCAGCTGCCTGCGCAGGCGCACCATCTCCCCCAACTGAGGCCTCCTCAGTCCCTCAGGGTGCTTCTCTGAGTTATGTCCTCAGCAGGTAGACTAGAAGCAGTAACCTAAAGAGAGAGGAGATGCCTTTTTTTAGTTAAAAGACGCTACCACGATAAGCTTTGTCAGACAACATGCACAATTGCACATTTTCTTTCCACAGAGATGTATTACGCAGGGTGACCTCATGCACGGACAGAAAAAACAGGCACACACACCACACTGACAGTATATTTTATGAAAGGAGGCCCACAGATGACCTTTTATTACATGAAATGAGCAGAAAAAAAAAGTACAGAGAAGGCGAGATACAGTTCTCATGGACAAACATCAAAGCACAAGAATAAACTCAGTTGATATGTGAAACTATTATATTTTAGAAAATAGAGAAATGATTATGTAACATGTAGGCTATAACTTTATTCTCAAAGTTATGACGGAGAGTCAGAATATATAAATCTGCTTTTATGCCTTTTGCCCATAAATTCCTGTTTGTATTGTAGTGTTCTCATGGTCATAACTGCTGAATAATGTTTTTAATCTCTTGATAAACTGAATTTTTGAGGGGATTTCAAAGGTTTTGGAAGAGGGGTTTCAGATTTTTTTAATGATGATGTTTGATTTAGAATAAAATGAATTTTGATTTACTTTAAAATGTTTAATTTATTCTTCCATTAAGAATATAAAAAATATCACCATCCTGAATTACTCTGTATATGACATTATGCTTATAACATAGAGTTTATTGTTATTATTCATGAATGTAATGGCATATTTCGCAAGTTTAAATGGCAAGTCTCCCTGAACACCAAGAGGGGGCAGTATTTCACTGTTTTCCATCAGTAGACGGCTTGGATTCCAGAGATCAGATTGGTTTCGCTGCAGACACTGGGATGATGTACATCATAGCAAATCATTCAGATTCTTTCAGACTAAGTCGCCTCTGGTTCCTGGTTCTCTGGGTCACTATTGTGACACTGGATGCTGCTGGAACCATTGGAAATTAAATGGCCTCTGCCTGTGCTGGACCAATTGTGTGTCACTGCCCGGGATGGACAGGTGCAGTCTTTTGGTTGTTATGATTTAATTGGCATATAAGTTTCATTAGGTTTATTACAATATATATTTCACATATCCATCCTAAAATGAACTAATATTGGAGCATAAGTGGGGAGGACAAATATTAGTAAGCAGCAGATGTCAGCAACAACAATATCAATGTAGACAAAGACTTTGTGGACAATATTCCCCTACAAATGCATTTAAGGCCACCAGCAGAGCTCACACTTGTTGTTGCATTTGCATTTTGTGAGGTTGCGTATCTGTGCACATACGTGCACATTAGCATGTGTTTGCATGTATGTCAGTGTGTGTGTGTGTGTGAGTGTGTGTTTGAATGTGTTATGCTAGCATGTCTATGGGCTAAGTTAGTGATCTGTTGATGGATATAAAGAGGTCATGGCCTGCCTCTCCCCCCCCCCCATCAGAACCCCTCCCTTGAACCCCCAACCCCCCTCTCACACACACCCGGCTTTGTGCCGTGTGAGAGAATGTGACCTGGTTCCCATCCCTGAGGAGGGGTGAAAACTAATGACAACCTCAGACACACTGCGCAGACCTGAGCCTCCCTCTCCAGCTGGCCCTCTTTGCCCACTGGGTCTGGACCCCCCGGTCCAAGTCCACTCTGGGACAGCCACAAGATCTGGCCCGTGTTACCGAAGATTTTCCTCCGTCCCGGGCCTTGTGTCTGGGTCTTTGTTTGCTTAAGCGAGTTCCACTCATCCAGTCGGAAAGCCTTGGGCTTAGTGTACGAGGACTGTGCAACTGGTTGCAGACCTGTGGGTTCCGAACAGTGTACAATGAGTGCAGAGCCTCGGCTCCGTGTATGTGTCTTCATCAGAGGCGACAGCTCCACACAATGGAACAAAGACACTGTCAATCACAATCAAACGGGTGTGTGCGCTGTTTGGTGGGGCAGGGGGATAGAGGATTCGAGGAGGCTGGGGGAGGAGTCTGGATATCCTGACTGTTCAGAAGGATGCCAAGACCCAATGTGGGACACTGAAGGCTAATGGCAGGGGGTGGGTATAGGGTTTTGGGTAGCACAGGGTGGGATGTGTTGCACTTGGGAAAATGAGAATTAGGATGCCAAAAGCTGAATACAGGACCCATTTACTAATTGAGTGAATACTAGAGTTACAGAAAAGTCTCATTAATGAACGGCATCTTATTAAACCATTGTTGTCTACTTTTGTTTCACAATCCAAAATGTTAATGCGATGTAGTTGGTTTTGTTTCCGAGCCAGTTAACATACTCTCGGTTCATCAGCATGAGATTTTACTATATTTTTTTAAGTATATGGCAGTTTTTTTGTTTTGGAAAGAAAAACTATTTCACAATCAATATAAAATCCTCTGAACTGGTAAAATGTAATATTTGCCACATGTGTGGACTCTAAAAGTTCTTTTTCAGCATTTTCCAGAGAACCACACCCAAAAATGAGGACAGTAATAAGCTCACATGCAAAAAGGAAATATAGAGATCAGAAAATTATGGGACCTGACTCACACATGAAAAAAGGAGTGAAAGTATTAAGAAAACAAAGGTCTAACTCTAATAACTGTTTCTGTAATGTTTTTTTCTTGATTTCAAAGATCCATTTCTATCAGAATAATGTGAAAGAGCAATACAATGTACGCCATATAATTTGTGTCGGCCCACAATCCACGCTAAAACTAAACAAATATACAAGTTTCAGGTCATTCACCATTTAGCATAGCGGCATGTGACTACAGATTAGACGACATGGGATATATCAACAGAGCTGAACATGGACAAGAGAGGAGCTATTAATCTTTATATAGTCAAATTGGGAGAAGCCCAGGTTGCCCTGTGACAGCAGGGTCCATTAGAGCAGTCCAAAAAGAGAAGCAAACACATAGCTGTCCGTTCTTTGGCCCTCTCCTCCTTACTCACTCTCTGTCCCCATGTCCGTCTGCCCTTTCCCCCACGGTTCGCCATAATTCCTCTATGCAGTGACCCCTCGCAGACCCAGCGTGGGTCACTTGTTTTTATTCACACATGTAGAGGGTGGGAATCATCTCTCTTTCTGAGTAGAACTGCTTGTTTGTAAGGCCATTCAGGATTGATTGGGGCGCAAATAAATCAAAAGAATCTTGTCCCATGCTGGCCAACCATGCACATTGCTTTTTACGCACACAGAACTGTGATTGTCACAGTCATTACAACATCAGCACTGTTCCCTTCCCCTACAGCTCACCAGAAACCTAACAATCCAACAGGAATTTCCAGACTGGATCACCGTTTGCCCGCTATCGTATTGTTTTGTTCTGCTCTCTTCACTCTCTCAAAACTACAAGCTCCAACCATTGTGAGACTGTGTGATTAGAGGTTTAAATCTGTGTAAGGGCATTGAAAATCTCAAAAAAGGCCTGTTGTGTTATTGCAGTTGGCTTAAAGATAACGTAATCGGAGCTGGAGTAACCTGATCTTGTTTTGTGGTGAACAATAAGATCAGATTGGTGTAATATTCCATTAGATGAATCAAAGCGAAGCTGCTCTGTGGTGTCAATACAAACATCTTTCTCAAAACTCGAAACTCCTGTTTGTGTGCAAGTGAAGGCAAGAAGCGTGACTGATCCAAAAAGGCAGCAATGCAAAACTAAACCTGGAAAATAGGGAAAAAAATTGCGCAACCACTGTCAACACCATCTCTTTTCTCAGTACTACAGTACGCGCCTTTAGACATCTTTTTCTAACATATCATCTCCTCTTTGGTTTCAGCTCTACCAGGAGAGATTGGTTTCAGCTCCCCGTCAAAGATGTAATTAGATGCCTGGGAATGTAATGTTTTTTTTAATTTACTGAAAAAATAACAACATGCTTTGCTTTCTGGTTTGACCGACACCAGTGAGAGTGAATTTACAAGGGATGATCGTCCTTTTAATTTCTTTCCCAAGGGTGGCTTTGCTTTTTCTTGTTCCTCTGGAAGCGTGAGAGTGAGTTTAGTGGGCGCCAATGTGCATGTGTGTATGAATCAAACAGAGGGAAGACTCAAAGACAGACACCGAGAGGAGTGGTTCCCTGCCTGGCAACCCTGGCTGCATCCCAGGCCAATTCCGCTGCCAGAGAGAGAAACTTGCTTAGGACCTGATCGGCGCTGCCACAGTTTTGATCTATTCACTGTCGCCAACCAAAAAGATGAGAAACCAATCAGGGAGCAGGCACACCCATGCCAGGAAGCCTGTCTCAGCCCAAAGAGCCTGCATCATTGTTTATTCAGCTTGAGTGCATCGCATCTTGGCAGCCTGGGTGAGAATGAATAGACGTTCAGAATATCAGTTCATAAGAACATAATGATAACATAGGTTTTGGGCCTAGCTCTAAAATATGGAATAATGACAGTGGTTCTTGTGCACACGTACAAGTTCCCAGAATGGAGAGGCACTTCACCAAGGCTGGAATTTTCTGCTGTTTTTTTTCTTCATAACAAAAGAACACCCATGTCTATTGACCATGAAGAGATGTTCATAGATTTGTCCCCAGTGAAGAGCTGTCTTTGTTGGTTATCTCCATTGGTGAGCCGCCTCCATTTGGCTCAGCCTAATCAGAACACAAACACGCCTCTGTGATTTGGACACACTCCCTCTCGCTTGTTCCTCAGCCTTTCTCATATTTACCAACAATAAAGACTGCATTTTGATTTCCTCATCTTTTCTTTTGCCATCATATGCCAACGCTTGATACAGTATGTGAGTGAACGGTCAACTCTGTGCTGTGATTTGTTTTCTCGCTGTCATCCACCTTATCCCCTCATCTAGGTGGAGTGTGCCTCTCCCTGAGGCTCAGGCGTTGAGGCATGACATACATCAACTCTACTTGTCTGTACACAGCCTGGTTTCGGTTGCCGTAGGGGAAGTTTTACAATGTAAAGAAGTTACTCAGGGAGAATGTTTTTTTCTATATTATCCATTCATTGAAAACTTAGACCAAATGCGTTCAAGCTTACAGTTTACTTTCCTTTAAAAAACACTTACTCTTTACCTTTGAACCAATTACTCAGTGCTGTAGGCAAACTACAAATAAACCCTCATTCTCACTGTCAGATGTGGTTATTTCTTAACTTCTTTTCAACTGATTATGCTGTGTAATTACACATCTTATTCTAAATATCACAAGTGATTATGAGAAGTGATTTTAGCATGTGTTCTGAACAGCAAAATATTTATACTTGTCCTTATGTTTAAGTGTATTTGTAATATTTGAGCTTTGAAATGATAAGGACAGTCATGGTTGTTTTTCTTTGCAGGACATTTAAACTGAGGCTCATTTTCTCCTCATTAAAATCACAGCTTTCAAAGTTCATGACCAATGTTCGCAACCATCTTTAAAGCTCTTTTGTTTCTTACGACAGCTTTGTCCGCTTAGCCTTCTCAAAGTAATTAATTTACTTTCGAGAAAAATCTAACAGAAATACATGATTTGCTTACACAAAAATATCTAATAATATCTAAGTCTGTGTTTTTGGACTTGTAGTGAGTATTCTAAAGAAATTGAATGTAGATGCTGCATTGAGATCCACCAAAGGTTTGTATTTACTATTCTATTTTTTTGTGGGTTCTCCTTTGTTTCCTTAACATGCACTGGTTTTCAACAACATTCATTTAAAGTAATATGAACACCATCCAAAAGAGTTAGA